TTAAGGTAAAACTCTAATTATTTTCACCTGTCTTTGGGATGTGTATTGGCCCTATGCCAATCTAATCCAATACACACATGGCAAAGATCTTTTGTGATACAATTGACACAAAGAGAACCCACCAGCTGACACTCAGGGTATAAGGTATATATAAACTCTGTGTTTCTTTGTGATGCTTACCAAACAGAATCATACCAAGATACTATCTGAAATACTTTATTTTATTTTAATGATGTTAAATGGACTTCAGCTAAAACGATGAACTTGTTTGATATGAAAAACTACAGTTAATTAACAGGTATATGGATTAATATCATTTACTTTCTTTGTGATGCTCATATAATCAAATTTGTAGCATTGATGTTATTACTAATAAGTGTGGCGAATCGATATATGTACAGCCAGTGTAATATCATGTATATTTGATACACAGAACTGTCATATATTTGATGACTTTTGACCTGTCATTTTTAATTGTTTATAAAATGTTTAGTTCTTTAGAAGAGTCTGAGATTGACATTTTAAAAGATATACTATACATTAAACCTTGAAGTAGATATTGACCATTTGGAGAGTAAGAATAACTTGTGAATGCTTACAGTAACTGAGCGTTCTATTTTGATACAGTATTGTGTTACCTGTCTTTTGACATGTACAAATGTAATTCAGATGTTTTAGAGTCACACTGAATTTTATAATGCATTCTTTTATTTACTTTTCAAGTTGTCTAAGTAGTTCTACTGCTGCACCATTAGCCTGCCAATGCTGAGATTGTGAATTTGAACCCTGTACGTGGCAAGTGTGTTCAACTCCAATCTTAATTGGCTAGGATTGTCAGTTTTCCCTGCTGAAGGTGTGGTTCCCTCCAGCTTCCTCCACCGATAAAAACTGGCTGCCACAAAATTGGAAATAGTGTTGAACAGGGTGTTACCCCCCACAATCAAAATCAAATATATTTATATTTAGTTATTGTACCGATGAAGGGGGAATGTATGAAAAGGGGGATGAGAACATATAAACTTATTTGTCCAGTCAGGAAAGGCATGTTCCTTTGTGAGTCCATTGCTTGAGAACATATAAACTTATTGTCCAGTCAGGAAAGGCATGTTCCTTTGTGAGTCCATTGCTTCAGAACATATAAACTTATTGTCCAGTCAGGAAAGGCATGTTCCTTTGTGAGTCCATTGCTTGAGAACATATAAACTTATTGTCCAGTCAGGAAATGCATGTTCCTTTGTGAGTCCATTGCTTGAGAACATATAAACTTATTGTCCAGTCAGGAAAGGCATGTTCCTTTGTGAGTCCATTGCTTGAGAACATATAAACTTATTGTCCAGTCAGGAAAGGCATGTTCCTTTGTGAGTCCATTGCTTGAGAACATATAAACTTATTGTCCAGTCAGGAAAGGCATGTTCCTTTGTGAGTCCATTGCTTGAGAACATATAAACTTATTGTCCAGTCAGGAAACGCATGTTCCTTTGTGAGTCCATTGCTTGGGTCGAAGATTCCACCACAGTTTTAGACTCTGGGCAGTTTAGAGCATAAATACTGCATCATAAAACAATCTTCTTGTAATATTACTTCCTGCAAACAAAGTTTTGAAAAAAGTACTAGTGGGGTTATGCAGTAATAGATTAGAATAGAAATCTGCATTAACATATCTATCATTAATGTAAAAATGTATTCAATAGGTTAAATAATATTTGGGGCTATAACAAGTTGAAGCAAGTTATTTGTTTAGCTCAGCATGTGCAGGTAGTTCTAGTTAATCTTAGATTGACATTTTAATTTATTTAAAAATGGTACAAATACTCACATATAATTCCAATTTCAAGAAGCATGCAAAATCTTTTGCTAATTATGGCACTAGTTTTTAAATTTAAGTCAAACTTTCAGAATGTGATTATTTTGGCGTACTTTAATGAATTAACCATCATCAGGAATGCCCAGAGTAAAAATAGGTGTAAGATGAAGATAGTCAAATACTTTGTAAAAAAACCTTAAAAAAATTACATTTATATGATATGGAAGAGAAAATTTAGCAATATTAGAAATCATATAAGTAAATAGTACTTAAAATTATTTGGCATGGTCATGTGATTAGTATGAAGAACTTTTGGTATGCTTATTTAAAAAATGACCTTGACAAAGCTTTCAGTCTATTTATTACAAATGAATGTATTTAAATTTAATGCAAAATGTATTATGACCTTAATTTTTCATCTAAAGCCTTTGTAAACTGTTTTGAAAAAATCAAAAATTGTGTCTGGGACTGAGAAATTCCTCTGACCTTGGATACGGATAATCCTTAGAATCATATTCAAGGCCGTCTTCCCTCTGTACTAATAACCTTTATGATAGATATTCAACCTTTTGTGTCTTCCATTCAGTACTTATTTTCTTTATGAAAAATATTCATTCTTTTGAGTTTCATTTTGAATAAATTTCTTCACCAATTTGATAATGCTATACATTTTTAACTTTTTTGGTTCATAAAATTTGTCCTGGTTTACAAATGACAGGGGTCATTCCAGTATACTTTAAGTTTGAAAAAAAAGATAAACATGTAAAATACCGTCAATTCACGTCGATAATTTAATTTAGTTGCTAATATTTTGAAATAATGTCCCTGAGGTTTTCTTATTATGAATTTCTTCCAACTATTAAACAAGATATGGTTCACTAAAATAAGGTGTCATCTCCATGGTCTATTTTAAGATTTTGCATAGAGGTTTCATAGTGTAAGATATTTTACTTTTCTGAAACATTTGAAATATCTTGGAAACATCAACTGCCTCTAAGAATAAGGTCACTTACTTACTTTACCGGTACTTTCTGCGTTTGCACAACTTTGTTGCCAATGACTCTGAGCCCTTAACTCCAATTCCACTGCAAACCTCGTCCAATCAAACATATCTTATTGCGTTTGCACAACTTTGTTGCCAATGACTCTGAGCCCTTAACTCCAATTCCACTGCAAACCTCGTCCAATCAAACATATCTTATTGCGTTAGAATATGAATTATTATGATATGGTCAGTAAAAAGCAAGAAAATATAATTTAAGGTACTGGAATGGAGAGACAAAAAAATCACATAACATGAAATATTACTAATTTAGAATTTATCAGATATATCAATGGAAAAGTTTTGTTCTTCATTTTGGCATGTTTGGGGTCTTCTATAATGATCTGAAGGGCTCGCACAGCAAGATCACATTGGCCCCTAGCATTGACTAATGAGATGTAGTGGGATTGTCAATGAGACAACTGTATATCCATGAGAGACTAAAGGACATTAGGATGTAAACAAATTAATATTTACCATAGGTATTTACTTATCTGGTAGATGCTAAAACAAATCTGTCCCACCCTGAACATATGTATTCCAGTTAAAATACTATTTTTAATGAAGAAAGACTTTTCATATAGGATTTGTGATAAATGGCTTGTAAATGGTCTTCCGTACATTTGAATCAAAAACACATTTGTATTTATTTTATAAGGAATAAGTGTTCCAGTGGCCTTTTTTTTAACGGATTTAAGTGGTTAATTATTCTATCTGAACTATTGAAGCAAAAGTAATAGAGTTTCTACATGCTAATTAAGTTTATCATTTAAAGTCTTAAAATAAAACTCCTGAATTTAAAATTGTAATTTAAAAGGTAGATTTAAATCTGGCATTTTATAGCCTGTTTTTCATTTAAAATACCATCCATCAAGTATAAGTAATAATAAAGTGTTTTTTTCAAGTCATCTTTAAATGAACTAGGACATCCTGGTAATGTTTAAGTCATCTATTATAAATCTTGGTATTAAATGAAGTGCTATTCTCAATTAATATTTTAAAAAGATCATTTAACCCTGCTGCACATTATTGTGTATCATCAGTTGTCTTAAATTTTTTTTGTATTTTGAAAATTTTGTGTTGGTTACAGATCTTTGAGTTAGATAGTGTCTGTTAAATTTATTGACAACTTATTTAGACCTGGGATGGTTTGAGCTTACTTAGACACAAATGTTAACCTATTGAAGTCTTTTTGGTTATTGGCATCATTGACATATTCTCAAAATAGACTTTTATTTCATATTAATACATGAGTATAATTGTCAAAAATAACTTTAATCAGATCTTTTAAAATAAATTTAAGGAAATGGCACCAATTACTTATTCCAAAATTAGGTTACAGCTTAAAATATAAATTGATAGGTGCAGGAGGAAAATAATTATGGCATTGTTAAACTCCTGTCATAAAATGGAATGTGGAACTCTGTGGGGAATATATTTTCTTTGAGTTGTCATTAGGATAACAAGTACATAAGGATATATTATACAAATATAGCCTTTGTATGAGGTTGATACGAAGTTATATCCACCTGAGAGAAGCATATGGACTGAGGACGAAGTCCGATGTCGATATGCTTCTCTAGGTCGATATAACATTGTATTGACCTAAACCAAAGGCTACAATTGTTATATTATTAATCAACAACTATTGCATGAACAATGTAAAATTGGGGATTTCTAGAATGTATTTTTAGTAACATACTGTATGCCCTGTGCAATATGCTGTTTTTGACCTACAAAAAGCTAAACACAACAGTATTGGTGTGCAAACTGAGTAAATACAAATGTACATGTGATCAAGTTTTAACGAATCACACATCCTTAAAAATATTTGATTAATAATATACCTCAATACATTGTTTTCAGTACATAATATTAATAGTAATTTTCACCAGGTTGCACCACAATTTTTTAAAAATTTTGAAGATATCATCTTTTTTCTTTGTTTAGATTAGGACAAAGGTTACAGTATATATTGATTATTTAATTAATCAACTTTTTAAGTATACATCCAATAATTTCACATACATTATTGATAAAGACCTGTTGTCTTCTGAAGTTTTTGTCCAGTCAGAACAGTTATTTAAAAGTGTGGAAGTAAACAGCTGTTTAAGGTGTCTTTATCTACCTGTCCAGACAGGTAGAGTAATCCACCCTTGTCACAGGCAATACACATCCCTGGTTTGAAATGACTGCAGCAAGGTGACTTGACATGATATAGTACATGTTTCAAACTAAATCAATTAAATTGATCAATTTAAGTATTGATCTCGATCAAAAGGTGAAATTTTGTGCATTCATTGGAAGGTATATTGGGGACAAAGAACACATACCTGATTTTTACCTGAGATTTTACCTGTGTAAAGGTATGACATTGTAGTATGTTTTTATTTTCCTTTGCATATGATCCTAATTAAATTGTAAGGTGTTTAGGTACTTTTCTATTAAAATGAAGGATTTTCTGGATCTATGTGTGATGAAAAAAATATATAAAGGTGCAGGATGAAAATAATGATGGCATTGTTGAACACCTGTCATAGAATAGAATGTGGAACTCGGTGGGGAATATATTTTCTTTGAGTTGTCATAAGGGTAAGGTTATCTGTATTTACATAAGGATATATACTTCAAAACATTGATTTCTAGTTATTTTCATTAGATTAACATAAATGGGATAAAAATGTGGCTGCAAGAAATAGTTGATTAATGTAAACCACCTGATTAAATAGTTTATTGGACATTGTTCCTTCCAAAGCAAAACAAAAACATTCTGTATGTGTCTGTCCAAAGTCAGCTGTAATTCAGTGGTTGTTGTTTAAGTTGCCATATATCATATTTTTGTTTTTTGTTTATTGTTTTGTTCATAAATAAGGTACGTTGTAGTTAGTTATTTTGTTTGAAATATTTTATTTTTGACATATCAGGGCCTTTTTATAGCTTGCTATGTGGTTTTGCTCATTTACATATAGTTGTTTACTTTATTTCATTTGATCTCTGATGGAGAACTGTCTCTTTGGTAATCATACCATATCTTTTTATTTTGAAAAAGCATAAATCAGCCATTTCTGATTTTTTGGTTTGCTAAAAAAAACAAATGTTAAGGTTTAAAATATTAGAGGCACTGCAAACATCTTCCTTTGCTGTAAAAAGGGCATTTGTCTTAATTAGTTTATACAAAAGTACATGACTTGCTGCAAATATAATACCATTATATATTGCCGCACCATGGCATGATTCCAATGACTGTGAGTCTGGTAGTTTTAACATTTACTTTCTCTGGACAAAATGGTTCACCACTTGGTCGATTTAATGTGTATATAACATATTAAACAATATTTATCAAAAACATCAAAATAAAAAATATACTGTGGCCCATCTATATACTATTGTAGGGATATAGCCTATTTTCAGAAAGGCAGCATAAAGGAAACATCATTTAATCAATCTTGAGTCTGGAATTGTCACACCAGACTTATGTAAAGTTTCAGTATTTACTTTTATATAAATTTTAATACATTCTCATTTTAAATAAATGTATGTCAATACTAGCTACCCATGGCTATTTAAATCACATTTGCTACATAATGTATACCTGTTTAGAGATTAATTAATAGGTATATCAGACAAACCTTCTGTAAAGATCAGGTTATTTCCCTGATAGGGGGCCATAATTTTAAATGGATTGATGGTCATTTTGGTCATGTTGTTTATTGAGATTAAGGACATTAAAAGGGCAGGGTATTATTGTTACTGATGTAATATACACTTAAGTGTTACCGTTGACCTTTTGACTTTATAGTGTAATTCTAAAAAATAATTTAATCAGCAATTGTACTTTGATTTAGTCCAAAATTTATCAAGATACTTCAAACTCTGAAACTTTGATAATCTGCATTAATATGCAACAATCTAGAATTATTGCACATAAAGTGACGTTTGCTGGTTTAGGACATTAGGCACCCATCAGTGAATAAATAAACCTTCTTGGACTATTTCAAAGAATATACTTCAATTTATTTAATTGCCCCTAATTTCTAGTGTCACTTTAGTATAGGTTATAGGTTATAGATATATTTTCAGTTTCTCACTGACCCGCTTATTAAAGATTGTTGGTTAACTAAGGGAACATGATGAGTAGAAAGTGGTGTCTTACCCATTAAACAAACCAACACAACTCCTTATATGTCTCCAGAAGATTTAACCTATTTATTTATATTTATGTAGTAATCTCAATATAACAGTCAGTATTTCAACATAGATGATTTTGTATTTTCAGAAAGAATTTAAACAAAATCGATATAACAGGAGTGAATTCAGGATGGATTATGTAACTCATGGAGAATATTAAATGAGAATGCCTGAATTACCAGAAAATGAACAACGACCAAAAAGCCGTAATGGATCTGCTAGTAAACGTACAGAACTTCATAATTCACTAAATAATCAACTAAATACCACAAGGAAAAGAATAGGATCGGCTACATACTATGATATAGCTTCTACATTACTAGGACAAGGTCGTACAGCTGACCTTGAAGAAATTTTTCTGTCTGCTGCTAGAGTAAGTTTAACATATTAACATAAAAGATATGAAGCAGATCCTTTTGAGAGAGGTTACGGAGGGGTCTCATCTTGAATTCCAGAGAAAATAATGTCAAATCCTGAATTCCCATGAATCACAATATGATTAAATCCCAAATTCCTAGTCTTGACGAAATAACTGGCTATTCCTGAATTTCTAGAATCAAACAGCTCAATCCTGATTCCCAGAAAGGTCTTTAAATTAATTCTGAATCTATTTTAAGAGAAACAAAATGCGTTTATTGCTGTTCCTCATCTTAAAAGAATACAATTTTGTCTTGAAAATCATAAAAAAATGAATAAGAGGTCATGCATTTCAACTTGAAGTCTCTCTTGTGCAGTGACATGTGCAATGTTCTTTAATATAGCTGATTTTACTTCACAGTGTATGTGCTGATAAGTATCAAGAAAAAGATTCTAAACCATTCAGTCATTGGAAATTAATCGAAGTTAGAATTATCAAAAAGAAACAAATAACAGGAAATGACAATTGATTGAACAGTTATCTTTTATTTTTTTGCAGGATGGTGATTATGAGAAAATCGAAAATTTCTTACAACGACGGAGTGATTGTATAGTTAGTGTTGATGTTAAAGATAAAAGGACTGGAAACACCCCCTTAATATGGGCTTCTAAAAGGGGCCACACAAAGGTACATATTACAACTAACAGATAGAAAAGCCTTGAAAAATACTGTGGATTCATTAGTATTACGGTAGTATGGTATCAATTTTTGTAAATATTGTTGGTACAATATAGAGGTAAAACACATATTTAATGTATAACAAAGTCTATATTTTCTAAAGGCTTGTTACAAGCAGACTTTTATATACCATGAAATAAAAACCACAGAAAATAAATAAACCCACAGTAGTTTAAAAGATGTGAAGAAAACAAGTATGGTAATTTGGGGGTAAAACAGCATTACTCAAAATCAATCAATTTATGTTCAATAAACTGATAAAAGGTAAAATAAAGAGGCATCCAGTTTAGAAAATGAACTAAAAAAGATAAAAAGTACTTTTATATTACATATGAAAGTAATGGGGCCTCGGTGGCCGAGTGGTCTAAGTAGTTACTACTGTAATCACTAGCCAGTCAACACTGAGGTTGTGAGTTCAAACCCTGCGGGTGCACTCGACTCCAATCTTAATTGACTAGGATTGTCAGTTTTCCTATCGAAGGTCAGCGGTTTTCTCCGGGCACTACGGCTTCCTCCACCAATAAAAACTGGCCGCCACGAAAAAGCCCAAAAGTGGCATTAAAAACACAAAAATCAAATCAAATCATATCATATGAAAGTAATGAAATACATAGATTTTAAAAATACCAGTCTCTCTATATCATAATAATGATAAATGAACTACTTAAACTAGCAGTATAAATCAGAAAAATATATTTTATTTATATTAAATCAGGTTACATTTCTGGATATTTAAATCTTGCGATCTTTTAACTTGATTTTATTGTGTGGTTTATAAAAATTGTTCAATCTGGTACAATCTCCAGAGAAATTTACATAAAACCTATCTAATAATAAATTTGAAATGGTTGTTAGGGCAGGTTTATACAGGTATTCAAAATATGATCACTATATATCAATATAAACTGAAGTATGAAAATACTATATATTTGAATTCTTGGAACTTTCATTAAGGCTGTAAATATGTGATGTGTTGGTCCTGTAAAAGTGAGTGAAAAATTGTGTGGTGAGAATCTTATTAAGTTTATCATCAGCTGAGTGTTGTAATGTACCACAATGCATTTTCTTTTTTAGTCCAATTCAAGGCTTCAAGTGTTTGAATATATCTGAGACCTAAATTTAGTATATATGTTAATGAATTTTATATTTCTGCAAGCTCATTTTAAAATCTAGCCCATCTAAAAACTACATAATTGTTAAAGATTGCGAAATTGACATTGATCTCATTGGTAGTTGGACATATCAATACATTACATTGGTCTCTATATGAATAAAACTTATAACCAGAAAACCGCAAAACTAAAACTTCTGAATGAAACCATTGTCCTATATACCAATGTGTAGATATTATAGTAGAACAGATAATTGATTTAATTACACGTAATTATAAAACATATCGTACAATATAGGTAGAAAGACTACCAAGGTCATTGTTTATATTCATGGATCAGATACAGTACTATAATAATGACTTTAAATTAGTAATAGAATGACTCAGATAGTTATTGTTTTTAGAAATGTTTTTCAACTTAGTTGTATTTACTAGCAATAGGTTATACATACTTCAGAAGGACAAGGGATGAAACATTTAAATCAGGATCACAAAATAAATATAAGTTAAGATGGTAAAGCATTTTCCCCATCTTCCTGTATAAAAAATAGAGGCAATAGATACCAAGAGGACATTAAAAACTAACAAGTCAAGATAAATTGAAAATTCCATAGCAAAAAACAAAAGATGACATAAGACAAACAAGTTCACAATGCACTACATAGAAAACTAAAAACTGAGCTAAAAGAACCCCACTGAAAACTAGGGGTGATCTCAGGTGCTCAGGAAGGGAAGGCAGATTCTCCTCCACTAGTGGTGATCTCAGGTGCTCAGGAAGGGTATGCAGATCCTCCTCCACTAGTGGTTATCTCAGGTGCTCAGGAAAGGTATGCAGATTCTCCTCCACTAGTGGTTATCTCAGGTGCTCAGGAAAGGTATGCAGATTCTCCTCCACTAGTGGTTATCTCAGGTGCTCAGGAAAGGTATGCAGATCCTCCTCCACTAGTGGTTATCTCAGGTGCTCAGGAAAGGTATGCAGATTCTCCTCCACTAGTGGTTATCTCAGGTGCTCAGGAAAGGTATGCAGATTCTCCTCCACTAGTGGTTATCTCAGGTGCTCAGGAAAGGTATGCAGATTCTCCTCCACTAGTGGTTATCTCAGGTGCTCAGGAAAGGTATGCAGATTCTCCTCCACTAGTGGTTATCTCAGGTGCTCAGGAAAGGTATGCAGATTCTCCTCCACTAGTGGTTATCTCAGGTGCTCAGGAAAGGTATGCAGATCCTCCTCCACTAGTGGCACCCATCGTGTTACTCATGGCAAGTACCTATTTGGTGACGAGTCTCATTCGGTGATGTCACAATTAGCCAAAAGAGAATGGGATTGTGGTTTCATCAAATATTGTTTGATTGTTGGGATGAAGGGTCTTTACTTTTTGAAAAGTGAAGATGTACTTTGGAAACAATGGAAAAAATTGCTTTGTAGTGATACTAGCAGTGGAAGACTTTAGAAAAATGTATTGATCTCTAGTATATACTGTACTATAACAAAAGCATTAAAACTACATCAGTGTCTGATTATATATAAAACCATGGTCTATATATTCTATACAAAAAAAATCAGTTATAAAATCTTTTATTCTGTATCTTTATCATTTAAATTAAAATATTGAAAAATTCTACTATGGCTTTTCTTGATGAATAAAATGTTAGATAGATCTGTATTGACCTCTTCAAACTTTAATATGGAATCTTGTCTGTTGTGAGTGAGTGACATTTTAGTGAAAATAATCAGGTTTTACTTTGAATAAAAACTGAATTAAATTAAAATCTGGTTAGAAAAACTTGGGGGAATAATATCAGATCTCATCAAATTTGCCTTTCACATTGTTGTGACTGAATTAAAATTGACTAGGAAATCACAGTGGATAAACACAACAGGACATATGTTGTTGTTGATAAATGTTGTACAGCAATTAAAAAAAACATTACAAATCCAATTTTTGAATTTTAAAAAATTTGTAAATTTATTTGGAAAATGGGTTAAACATGATTGACCTGAAAATGATAAATTCATAAAATATTAACAAATTAATTTTGTTTATTGATAAGTAATTTGATGACTGGTCAGTGACCCTTTGTATGTGTGTGTGACACTTAGATATAAATTGTAGGACATTGACAGAAAAGTCAATTTTGTTTAAATATCAAAGGGTTTGGAATGTAATATTGACACATAAAAGTTATTTATATCAATATACAAGTGAAAATATATACAGATATTTAGTGTTGTTTTAAAATCAATGGCTTTCCAAGACATAAATTTTTAACAAAGTCACATAAAATGGAAAGTAAGTTGCCAGATATATGTAGCGGTCTTAAACATTGGAGGAAATAATACCAATGACATTTTTTGTCTAAAGTACACTTAAATGTTAAGAAACAAAAGTTTAAAATTCATTGTGGGTTGCACATCATTTCACATTTTTTAAGTGTAAATACGCAGTGTAAATATAATGAATTATCTCCCTTTCTAGTCTCTTTATATAAGGCATTCTTTGTTAAAACAAATATGGTAAGGAACAATATTGTGAGATAATAAACAGCAATAAACAGCTGTTCCTATGCATTTGGATTTTGTTATAAAATATGAGTTCACACCATCTCACCATAACAAATTTTGCTGAACATCATTTGAAATGTGGGAATAATTAAAAGATAAAACACTGTTAAACTTATCAATCATTGCCCAAATTTAAAAATTACAGTTTAACACAAATATTAATAGCTAAAGTCAGCAGTTTTAAGATCTAGTTATTAGCAGTAATCAATGTATGATCTTAATGTAATATGTTATGACTGTGTAGTTATTGTTAATTATATTTGGTCAGGTCAGGGTTAATCTTAATCTACTTCACACTGCCAAATTGTAGTCTTATGAAATTTTCAACCTATTGAAAATTCATTTGAAACTGCATTTAATGTGTTTGTTACCTGTAAAACTAAAAGGAAAGTGCTATTGAATTTTATGTTACAATTTTGACTGAATAGAATTTATAGTCATCTGTTTCATCAAGCATCTTAATTACTACTATTCATAAAACTATGTCATTATGGATGGTCAGTTTGAATCCAATGTTTAATAATTGTTCTATAGAACTGCAGCCTCAAGTTGTTTTTCCCAGATTGTCAAAAACTTTCTTACCAATTATCAGAAACTTTTACTATCCAAAATAAACAAAAATCATATATTTATAGCTCTTAAGTTTAACTTGAATAGATAATTTGGATGCTGTCTCATTGAATTTGTCCATTGTCTCCTTAAGATCTTACCATTGTTATCTTATGAAGGAAAGACATAGTTGAATGCCGTACTTTGACCTATAATGGTTTACTTTTACACATTGTGACTTGGATGGAGAGTTGTCTCATTGGCACTCATACATCATCTTCTTATTTCTATATAGAAGTGTTTAGTACTGTCCATTGGTATTTTCTATGGATGTATATTCCTGATGCTAGAAATAATCAAACAATCGTTATTGATTGAATCACTTTATGGCCTGGATGAACAAAGGGGAAAGGGGAGGAGGAGGTGGTATGGGTACCTGTCTTGTATAATCAACTACTCTTACAGCTTTGAATTCTGAGCCTTACAAGCTTTCTCAAATGATTTGCATTGAAAATGTTCATTTTTGTGTACTCATTTGAAGATGTTCATTTCACATTGTGTACTCATTTGAAGATGTTCATTTTGTGTACTCATTTGAAGATGTTCATTTCATGTTGTGTACTCATTTGAAGATGTTCATTTCACATTGTGTACTCATTTGAAGATGTTCATTTCACATTGTGTACTCATTTGAAGATGTTCATTTCACATTGTGTACTCATTTGAAGATGTTCATTTCACATTGTGTACTCATTTGAAGATGTTCATTTCATGTTGTGTACTCATTTGAAGATGTTCATTTCATGTTGTGTACTCATTTGAAGATGTTCATTTCATGTTGTGTACTCATTTGAAGATGTTCATTTCACATTGTGTACTCATATGAAGAATTTAAGTAATCTTTATCTGCAATCTCCTTGGAGAATGTAGTTTTCATCAGTTTTGCCAATTTGTAGAAATCAGAGCATCTTTCCTTACTATCATTGCAGTAAGGGCTTTCAAAAACATGTGAAAGATATTAGTAATTATCATTGTCTTGTCTTTAAAATTTAAAATACCAAATTATATCAGTATCACTATTTATTTATATTCATGCATACTAATTTTTTGTTGGTTGAGAAAATTTGTATTTGCCATGATAATTATTTTGGTGGATTGACAATTTCTGCATACAAGCCTATAGAAATTTATTTTTCATTGACATTTAAAATTTGTGGTTCACATATACTTAACTTAACCCACAGAAATGAGTCACCCACAAATAATTTAATGAATCCGTCAAGTATTCTAGTTTTTTTACTTATTTTTGATCAATCGTTTGTTCAATCAATCAATTAACTAAAGTATGTAAACTTTCTAGATAGTACAACTGTTGCTGAAACATGGTGCTGATGTAACTCTACGTAACTATGAGAACCAGACAGCGGTAGATGTTGCCTCCTCGGCTATAAAGACGGTGCTATTGGATTCTGTGGAAAGAACCACAGAATCATGGCATCATTTACTGCTTCAGGCTGCATGGCAGGGAAATATCAAAGTTGTCAGGAAATTACTTGTAAGTATAGGGAGAATATCACAAGTATTCCACTCAGGGTATATTAGATAAGCCAAGTTTCGTCTGTATCCAAGATATCAGTAATTCCACTTTTCAGTATCTGATGCATTCTGGGTAATATTTTCAAAAGCATACACCAATCATTTGCCTACACTAGTAGGTCCCAAATAATGAAAATTCAACTAACAACATGACATTTTTTTCATTTTGGAGTATGAACAATTAAAATCATATGGTCCTACAGATTTTCTGAAACAGCAAATTCTTCACAAACTTGTCGGGAAGGTGTTTGGCTATAAAAAGAAGATGTGGTATTATTGCCAATGAGATAACTCTCCACAAGAGACCAAATGACACAGAAATTATAACAACTATTTTATGTATTCCGATAAGGTAAACTTCATAATTTTGAAATTTTCAAAACTTCAGAATAAGAGTTAATTGCTCATAATAAAACATATTAGAAATAAAGTTAAGTGGAGAACAATGGTAAGAAATTAAACATGGCATTATTAAAGCCAATTAAATGGCCATAATGATAAAGGACAAAGTTATTATAACTGAAAACAGGAGATGACTTGCATTATAACACATCAGCATTGATTTCTGCCATAGAAAATCAATCTAAGTTACGTCTGTATCCAAGATATCAGCCAATAAACGACAGGGTTATTCTAACACTTTAATCACATAATAGGATGTTTTTGCACATTTATGCTGCAGCTTTCTGTTTATTTTTAATCTTTATAGTTTGTTTTTTTTTAGTTAAAAGACATCAATAATAATGATTAATTCTTTAGAGGTGTTTTATTTTACAATGTAAAGCTATTTATCAGAACATTAGTAATTGTTCTGTTTTCTAACCAAGAACTTCATAATGGGTTAAACTTTTAAACTTTTAAAATGACAAAATGGTTTGAAAGAAGAATGATTGTCACAAATTCTAAACTTTTAATTGTTTCTTTGTCTTATTATCTTGTATAAATCACATCTTAAGATTTCGAAATATTTTTTTTGTTGAATAATTATTAATATTGATATCATTTGTTGTTCTGGATGAAATGATGAAATTAATCAGATTTTTTTTGTTTTTTGTTTTTTTTTATAAACATTTGCCAAATTAGGGTTTGCCCCAGATTTCAAGGTTCACTGCACATGGAGCTGTGATAGTGCAAGCTGGGTAGTGTCCCATTGAAACATATTCTTGTTTTGTTTTTAATATAACTTTAACTTTCTATGTTCATTTTCATTCACGCTTTTTCATTTTGGAGGAAAATAGAGTATGCCCATTGTGTGATTATATTATTAGACCTTGGTAAGCTGAATTTTCTATATTAAGTCATTGATTATATAGTTTACCATATTATAATGTTTGAATGTTAATAGTAAAATATTTGAAAAACTATCAATGGAGTGATTGATGTGGACTAAAGCTGAAATGCAAACCAGTAATAATGCTTGAATTTTATTCTGATCTGTTGTGTTGTAGAGACCCCATTCTAGTAAGGGACATAACCCTTACATAGGAGGAGAAAATAAAGAGGTTGATAAATTTTGATTTATTTGCTGTTGAATAGTATGGCTTGATTCTGCTAAAATATTGTAGTAACCGTGTAGGCTTAAATCAAATGATCCAAGTTTTAATATTATTATAAACAAAAATGTAACTATGGTTTTTCCTACCTGATTGGAAAAGTCAATAAATACTTTTTTGGGGAAAAAATTGAAGTTGATGTCCAGTTTTAGGAAGTATGGCATGCTTACTTGTTATTGTATTTGCATGATTAAGCAGCTTTTTAGAAATAGCTAGTTAAGTCATTCTACATAAATAATCATCTTCACTCAGTTCTGAGCAAAACAAAATTTTTTTAAAATATGTCCGAAAGATTTTTTTTTTTATTATTATCGAAATAATGCATGAAATGGAAGAAACAAGTGATTTAATATATAGACAGCAGAGGATGATAAAATTTGAAGAAATAAATGAATGAAATAAGAGACCAATATGGCCAACTTTTGATGTTCTGCTAAACAGAAAGATACGTAAAATAAAACTGTTAGGATATACTTATTATGATGTAATATTTCTTGTTGCAGAATGAAAATAAAGTACGTGACATAAATTGCTGTAATTCTGAAGGATTGACGCCATTGCTATTGGCAACACGGGACATGGTGGTGTTAGAAAAGTTATGTACACAGTTAAACAAACCATACCATCCTGCAGAAGTTGTGGCAGAACTCCTCAGATATAGATGGTAAGTTAATATTGGTAACATGTTAGAAAAGTTATGTACACAGTTAAACATACCCTACCGTCCTGCAGAAGTTGTGGCAGAACTCCTCAGATATAGATGGTAAGTTACTATGGTTACATGTTAGAAAAGTTATGTACACAGTTAAACAAACCATACCATCCTGCAGAAGTTGTGGCAGAACTCCTCAGATATAGATGGTAAGTTACTATGGTTACTTGTTAGAAAAGTGATGTACACAATTAAACATACCCTACCGTCCTGCAGAAGTTGTGGCAGAACTCCTTAGATATAGATGGTAAGTTACTATGGTTACTTGTTTGAAAAGTCATAGTAAAAATGTCAAACTCCACACAGATATCAGGGATAAAAGACCATGGCAACCAGGGGTTTTGGTGTCATAATGTTAGAAAAAATATCAACCTGTACATCAGCAAGTTATATATTTTACTGGGTGGAAATTCAAATGATCCTTACATATAATATATACGGCAAAGTTGTCAAATTTATCAAAAATCAGTGGAAAGTTACCATGGCAACTAGGTGTTTTCTGTTGTTAGAAAAAAATGAATTAACCCGTACATTTGCAGTCTATATATTCATTGTAAAGTTAAAACTTCGCAATATCAGTGTACTTTGAATTAACAAAAAAGATGATCTGTAGAAAAGAACAAGCCGTATTTCTTGTACATTTGTTTATGAAAATGACCACTCCATTAACAAATCTGTAAGAAGGTCTTTAAAATTGTATACTTGTATTTTATTGTAATGTATAATATGTATGAAATCATATTTTTGCTGAAAACCTCCATTTATTACAGCGATATCTATGCTGCTGATGGAGATGGGAAAACTTGCCTTCATTACGCATCTCAGTCGAAAGCTATCATTTCCCCAATGGTGGTGCAAACAATAATTACAGCAGGACCAGATATAGGTAGGTTTTTGACAGTGATTTCATTAGTTTTGATTTGCCCTGACTGGCATGCAGTTAATTAGTTATGTAGGTCTGTGGACTCTAGGACTTTTTGATGATGTGTAGGAACCTTGTATTATTATACCCTTGCTAAGAAGGAGGGAGGGTTTACTGGTTTATGCCTATTCTTCTGTCTGTGTGTTTCTCTGTTTCATGAAACTTTTGGAGCATTTTTCTCAGGAATTACAAATCAGAGGTTCCTGAAATTTTGTATCAAGCTCATGTAAACACGCATGCTTTACCGTGTAATGCATTTACAAAAACATCTCATATTAAATCTTATATATTCTTACACATATTGGCAATATGTAAAATTTTGTCGCATTTTCCTCAGGATCTACAAATCTAAGTTTCCTGAAATTTGGTATCGAGCTCCATGTAAGAATGCTACTCCGTGTGATGCGTTTTTACATCCATCACTTACTAACTTCCTGTTAAATGAAAACTTATAGCAGCGTTATCATTAGTGAGTATTAGCTCACAGTTCAACTTGTTTTGAAATAAAATTACAATGAACCTTCAAAATTCTTAGTATATTGAATATCTATCAATTGAAGGATTTATAATTTTACAAGCCTTATGTTTAGAGGGAAAAATACCTTTATGTTTAAGAAAATTGTGCCTGATTTCTTTAATAATTAGAAATCCAGAAAGATACATATGATACAATATTGACATAATGTATCAGTACAAGGGTTCAACCAATACCATATAATTTTGTATTTGCCATAATCTGTAAGATTTCTCCTGTTCTTTATTGACACCTATAAACAGATCAACGTTTTATGTGATGGAAATTAATCTCAACACATTCTCCTAGTAATACATTGTACATGTAATACACAAACTAATATAAAGCAATCTTGTTCTTCCTTCTAATTTTAATTCCTCATGCATTTTCTTTATGGGGTGCCTTGGTGGCATGAGTGGTCTAAGTACTTTATCTACAGTGATCACTATCCTATTAACTCATTTAGAGTTCAAACCCCGCTAGTGGTGAGGTGTGTTAGTCTCTGATCTTAATTTGTACTTAGTACTAATAAGGATATAATGGGTGATAAAACTAGAAGTCTGTGCTGGCATCCAAAGGTGGTGTTTAATAATCTAAACACAAGATATTACTGTAAATTCAGAAATTATTGCGTGCATTTATTATTGCGATTTTGTCATTTTAGACTAAAATGCGATTTTAATTTTTGCTATATTGAGAAAAATCCTGTTTAATTCATATAAAAAATTTCAAAATGCGAGTTTAAATTATTGCGATTATAACCCTGTCGCATTTTTCGCAATAATAAAAACATCGCAATAATTTCTGAATTTACAGTATTCAATCATACAAATTGTAATGCAAATACGCATATCTATAGTGTAGTAACATTATATTAAACAATAAATGATGATAAATTCAAACACCACATCACCTGTGTGAATATTTGGTTCAAACATTTTACAGTCTAGGGATAATAAACAGACATATACTATATACATCTACATTTGTATAAACCATACACACAAGTCAATCACTATCTATTGCCCCTTTGAAAAATTTAACAAAATCGTTTATTGACTATTAATCAAAATAAGACTAAGGGCTGGGAGGGTGGGATCGAAAAACTAATTTGTAGAGAAGTATGTAAATGCTACCTTTGATATAAAAGAGTTCAAATACCAAATTTAGGAATGCTAAAACATGAGAGACGGCCCCGAACAAATTAAGCAAAATGACACAGCCATTTTTAACCAATTGACAAGGATTGATATTTTTCCTGACAAATGTCAGTGCTAATTTCTCTCTTTGTACTTCAGCTTCTATCTTTTTTTTGAAGAAGAAAAAACTGTCTACCATAATATAGTCAAGGTCGGTGAAAGTGGCACAAAACAACGACAAACAATTTCTTTACAGCATTGCCTTATACATGATACCTGACAAAGATATTATTGTTTTATATTTCAGAACTGCAAGATAAAAGATTATTTGCTCCCATACACTGTGCCTCCCAAACTGGCAATGTCGATACAATAGAAACGTTAATACAAGGTGGATCTAGTGTCAACAGTCGGGGGTTTGCTGGTACGACCCCTCTACATATAACAGTAAGTATGGAATTTTATAATGTTGAGTTGTACCATGTAAGTAATTTTCAGACATGTCTGTTTTATGACATTTTGAATTTATCATGACCATTGAGCACAGAAATTTAAAATGTCTGATAAAAATTGGGGTCCTTGTATGACATCATCTCAAAATACAATTGGAAACCCTACAGGCATTAAGTGACAATAATAAGTGATTGAACCTTTTTTATTTAAATTCACAGGCTTACAACGATCATGAGAAAGCAGCTTCGTGTCTTCTAAGTTATGGTGCTCAGGTTATGCTAACTGATGATCGGGGACTGACATCATTAGATCTTGCCAGAGGAAAAAAAATGAAAGCTACACTGAAGGAGGCATGGATGGAGGCTACTAGGGGAAAACCTGTCGTAGATCTTGCCCCAATTAGAGCCCCAAGCAGAGAAGAGGTCAGAGCATCTGTAGAAAAATTTGATTCCAAAAGAAAAGGAGAAGTTATTTTTGATGTAAGATAATGTTGATAATTTAATCGGCATCAAAGAAAAATACTCATTTATATGTTTTGGAGTTTAGTGTGATGTCCATTTTCACTGAACTAGTACACAATTTTATTTAGGGGCCAGCTGAGGACCACCTCCAAGTGCGGGATTTTCTCGCTGCGTTGAAGACCCATTGATGGCCTTCAGCTGTTGTCAACTCTTTGGTCGGGTTGTTGTCTCTTTGACATACATGTAGGACTCAAATCTATGGTAGGTTCCAGATCTATGGCAGATCCCTAATCTATGGCAAATATGACGTCATGTCATCCCAAATCTATGGCAGATTTGTTACAATCCTAATCTATGGCAAGTTTTGTAATTTCCTAATCTATGGCGGATTTTTGTTGTTTCCAAACCTATGGCAGATTTATGCAAATGAAAAACAATGCAGTACATATACGATCAATGACTTGTCTTAAACAAGTTGAAATGTACGACAACGGGAGTATGTCTATAAACTTTTGTGATAAACATTCCATAATGGTCAACCAAATCGTGATAGCAACCATAAAATATTGTAAACGGTGAAATCATATACCTTAATACATAAAAATAAGCATTTATTAATCTGTGCATGGTACCTGTTTAACCCATTCAAGTTAAACCAACTTAAAGTAAGTCTTTTAACAAACAAGAAACACAGTTATTTTCATAAAAAAAATGAACAGTTTGACTTTTCACATAATATTTATTTCATCATTAAAACATCTTTTTTATTTGATGACGATTTAAATCAAATTATTATCCAGCAATTTGATTTTTCACTTTTATCAACTTTGCTAGCTGTAGACGCTAAAATATTTACTATAACTCCTTTTTCTAAAATTTCAGGCACTGAAAACAGCTGTGCCCTTATTAATAGCGGGATTCGGCCGGTACAGCACATTTTGTCCCTCTTCCGGATAATAGGTCACATCTTGTCACAAACCATGTGCAAATTGTTGTAGAGGGAAATATCTTTACCTTCATCTGGAATGGTATTCAAATCTATGGGTTCCGCCATCGTTATAGGGAGCAAGCATTTTACTTCAAGGGGGGTTATGGTGTTTTTTTCTGAGTCAGAAATTTTTTTATTTAGTGTTTTGAAGCTATATCAATCAATTTTTTTTCAAAATTAAACACTATAAAGTATGGGGAAAATGTAGATTCAGAATATTTTTTTTTGCCATCTGTTTGATCAGAATATTTTTTTTTCATCAAATTGGGGATCAGAATATTTTTTTTAGGAAAAAAACATACCACCCCCCTTTTTTGAACTTGAAATGGTCGTATCCTGGTTCCCGGTACTACGTTCCAGGTTTTAGCTGATAGCCATACGCTGTCACGGGGTTATATTGGTATATGTGTAACATACTGAATATTGCGATCGGGAACCAGTCTAAAATGGTCGTTCCCTTAGTGGCGGCGTCGATGTAATATGGCGTTATTCAATTGTGACGTTATATGTCACTCTTTTTCCCGGAAAATTATGCAATTTCAAGATATGCCATAGATTAGGAGAAAACAAAAATCTGCCATAGATCTGATTTGTCTGGCTTTTGTAACGTGAATTGCATTTGCCATAGATTAGGAATCTGCCATAGATTTGGAACCCGCCATAGATTTGAGTCCTACATACATATAAAAGTATAAAAGATGACAAAATGTGAAACAATTCAAAAGAGAAAACCAATGGCCTGATCTATGCTACAACAATAAACAAAACATAGTTATGACAGACAGCAACAAAGGACAACCATTTATTTTATAATTATTTTATCATTAGTTATTTATAATAATATAAGACAGAATTATATCTAACTTTGTATATTACTTTTACACTGCAGATTATTGAAACATTTTCTTACACAAACTTATATATATTTTACTAAGTTTATGATTTCTTTCCATAACAGGGTCATCCCTCCAACCCATTTGCCAACATGCAGAGCACACCTCATCGTGAGTATTATTATGGAACAAAAGGCTATTATGCTTCATGCAAAACATTCATTTTAAACTTATTAATATGAAAATAAAAAAATTATTGCCAATGAGACAACAATCTGCCAGAGACCAAATGAAGTGGATATAAGCAACTAGAGGCCAATGTACGAACTTCAACAATGAGGATAAAAGGTTCCGACATGACAAAATGTCAAACAATTCAAAGGAGAAAACTAATGGTCAGATTATTTAGTAAATGATAAACAAAAAGTAAATATGACAGACAACAACTAAAACAACCACTGAAATAAAGGCTCCTGACATGGGGCAGGAACGGTTCAAAATGTTTTCGAGCACTCAAATCTCCTCTCAGTCTGCGAAAGCGATGTAACAGCACAACATATGAGGCAAGGAACATTGAGTGCATTTATTTCTAGAGTAAAGGTTCACTCAACTTTATAGAAAAAAACCTGCATTTGAATTTTCTCTGAATAATAGTGAACATTTGCCACTTAAGACAAACTTCCTGTGTGTCTACATAAAATTACATGTAAAATAACATATTTCTGGTTGGTTAGTTGTCTTATTGTTGCATACCTCACATGTATCTTTTTATTCATATTGTGGTTAAATCTTTTTTTCAAATAAGGATTTCTATATGATTCAATGTTATAATTTCAGGAGGTCAACCTGTATCTAGACATTTAAGTTTGAAGGAGAAAGCCAGTCGAGCCGAGGCTTTGATGAATAAAGATATAGAATCAGGACGATTTAGTCCATCCCCATATGCCAAGTGAGTGTGTGAAATACTATGATTATATGAAAATGGTACTTAATTTCATGGTCCATTAATAGTAGATTAATTTATCCAAGAACAACCACACCACACAGACACCCACTTTTTCTTTTTCAAATCTGATTCAACAAATATACTGAATGTGTTTCCTCTAATTTATCACTGTAAAACATTTTTTAAAGTTATTATTTTCTTTGGGAGATTTCATTGTGCATACTGAAATCTCAGCAAGGATTTCTTTTTTTTATTGTATGATACCATTTTTGCGTAACAAAATTTTACAGAGATGGACCACGCCGTCTTGGTGTTGTTAGAGGAGGACGTAAACCCTCCCCCTTACCTCGAGTTAACAGTAAAGAGCGACATCCATCAGTTAGTCCCGATAGGCTCAGTAATGGTGGAAGAGAGTCGCCAGCATTTAACAGAAATGGTCGATTTAGAAAATCATTTGATGAGGGCCGACTCAGTCGAAATAGAAATAATAGTAATAAATTATGTAAGTTTGTAATACATAACTAGAATTAGAATATTACTAAATGTATTGGACAGGACAACTGACCATACTCTACCACTAACAAACAACACTTCCCAGAAAATCATTTTACAAAAAATGATCGTTACACTTTAAAAAACATAAAAGTTATTTTTGATATTGTAAGAAAGGTAAAAGTTATTTTTGATATTGTAAGAAAGGTAAAAGTTATTTTTGATATTGTAAGAAAGGTAAAAGTTATTTTTGATATTGTAAGAAAGGTAAAAGTTATTTTTGATATTGTAAGAAAGGTAAAAGTTATTTTTGATTTTGTAAGAAAGGTTTTTTTTAAGAAGTTCATTGATGTGTAAATTTAGCTCACTCACTAACAAACTGAATTCAGTCTGAAGGACTTTACACTAAGTTTGTCAGTGAAATGCAAAATTTACTTATTCAACATATATAGCACTAACATCAACCCATATGTAATAAATTGCACAAAAAAATTAGAAAAACCTTGTCAAATAAAAAAATTAGGCAAATTATGTTTTTTTGTATCTTTTTTTTCTTTAGTAACCCACCCTTCACCTGGTTCCCGGTTCAACAAAGACAGTGGTATAAATACTCCAACAGAAGACTTGGATAACTGTCTACAGAATTCTAGGTATGTTGTTATGTGAGGGTTATACATAGGTATAAAAAAATAAAGTGTCAATTTGGAAGTTTACAGTTTGGACTCCAATAAATCGTCAAGAGTTTTCAACAAGGAAATTGAAAAAAAAGACAAATGAGAAAATTGCTGTAATGAGAGGAATGATATTCACATATGGTATAGTAAGCTACAATAGGTCTCTACATGATTAAATAGCAAACTAAAACGAGAAAGCCAAAGGCGCACACACATGACTATTTGTTATATTTGTATATTTTGAAATCATATTTATTCCACAGATTAACACCTGTATCTCCATCTCCAAGTTTGTCAAAGAAAAAGCACAAAAGATCTGGATCAGACACAGCAACCTCTGTCAAGGTCGGCCATGTTGCTGCATCATGTGATCCTATCATGTCACAGAAAGGTAAAGTGTTCATCTCCTGTACTTAGAAGTGATGATTTTATGATAACTAATGGTAGCAGTAGTTTTTTATCAGTAAAATTGCTGTTTAAGTTTCAATCTAATGCAGTGTTGTTTGTAAGGTCAATTCTGATTGGGTGACATCAAAATTTTGAAAAGGGAAAACTTATGGTTTATTGTCTGAACAACGGAAAATGTAAAGGAGCAGATGCAGAAAGTAAATTCTTATTCAGTATTTTGAAAAAGTAAATCTCATGGTTTACTATCTGAACAAAGGACATGCAAAAAAAAAATCACCCAGTAATTTAAAGATAAAAATAGATAATTCCTGGCTTTGTATTATTAGCTTAGAGATAATTATACTGTATTTGAGTACTTTTTTACCGAAATATTGATTTGGAAACCTTACTATTGCTGGAAAATGATTTTGACTAGAAATATTCTTATGTACTCAAATTTAGTACAAGAATCTTGTATAATTATAAATAAAATAACTTAGTTTAATTTTCATATGTAAACACAAATTAGATTTATCCACAAATTAATCTTTAGATGTATTTTATTTAGTAATAGAAATTTATTTGTATTAGTATCATACCAATGTATCTGATATATTATATGCTAGATTACTCATTAATACTATAGTATGATAAATGGACAGTTTTTTGCCACCAACATTTACACTCAGTCTGGGGTTAAAGTTTTATTCCTTTTTCACAAACTTTTTGAACTTGAATAGAAGCTTTCCATAATAGAAAAAAAAGGTTTTTTGAGTTAACATTTAGATACAGTGTGGGTGTAAAATTTTCAAAACCTCAATTTCCCTTTCTTAAACCTTCGTGGATTTTCAGGAAATTTAACACAAGCTTCTTCCTAATCTAGCAATACCATTCAGAGGTAAACAAAATTCTTATTATTTTCCTATTTTACTGATAAATGGACTTAGCTTTCATTATTACACTTTTACACTGACAGCAGCAGTCACAGTTGAAACACCGGGTTCCATAGAATCCTTTATGTATTACTATTGTTCGCTTAAATAAGAAAAAATTTATGCAGCCATGAAAGTAAGTTCCCATTAAATCAATTTAAACGAGAGGGTGTTTCTCAGCTACAGAGGGGCGTAAAGGGGGGGGTATCTGCATGGAAGAACGCGAAATAAAATTGCCATTTCACAATGAATGAACAATTAAAAATTTATTGCACGTTGATGTTTTTACCGATTTAACGAAACACAGTGAATAACGAACCTTTTTCACGGCTGGACGTGAAAAAAAATGGCAAAACACTTTGCACGAAAATAACCCATTGATAATCTTTTATTGCTATTTTGCCTATGACCTCGTTGATGTTTACATTCACAAGGCATGTGCGCCCTTAGTTTCTAGTAATAATTTTCTATCTCAAGCGTGTAGCATGATAGCAAAATAGTGATAATTAATTTTACTATTGAATCAAAATGTGTAATGGTTGTTTTGGGGTTGAGGAATGTCCCATACAAGCAAAGAATAGATTGTAGGTTAAGCAGGGATATAGATTTAATGAGCTCATAGTACTGGGGTACATATAGATTGTAAGATACCAATCATAGAATTATTGCTTGTGTAGCTGGTATTATATATGTGTCAGTATTAATATAACTAACAAATTTTTCATTTTGTTTTTTAATCATAATTTTATCACATCATTGTCCTCATTTTTAACCTCATTTTGTTTGTAGGACGTGTGTCACATCCATTGAGTCGTAGTGATGACTTCACATCTTCTCCGTATTTAATACGAGTAAAACCTGCACAAACAAGAGAAGATAACAAATATAAAACTAACACACACGCTGTTGTTCTGGATCTGGGTAAATGTTTTATCTAACACTAACACACGAGTACAAGTTAAATAATCATAACAAACTCATGTTTGCATCAACATTATATTCATTGGTTCTTTTTGAAATGCATATTTTTTTTCAAAAAAACATGTTAAAAAGTCATTTTGTGTGCTTATTTAAACTGTTTATAAGTAATAATTGGAATACAAAAATAAAGCATTTCTTGAAAATGCATTTATGTGAATTTCTGTGTGTCCTGCATAAAAAATTGTTTTAAAAAAAGGTCAATGACAAAAATTAAATTCTGAACAAACGATTTGTGCTGTGTTTTGTACTGAATGATTTGGCATTCAACATCAAGCATGGGATATAACGACAAATTATTTTGATGTTTGAATTATTTGAGTATCTTGTACATTTTCGTTTATTTTTCTTCAAAAATGAAGTTTGTTGTCTTTTTGAAAGTAGTTTGTGAATTCATGTCTGTCATTTTATATGAGGGGCATCGGTGGCCGAGTGGTCTAAGTAGTATAACTACTGTATCACAGAGGTTGTGAGTTCGAATACGGCACGTGGGAGATGCGTTCAACTCCAATCTTAATTGACTAGGATTGTAATTTTCCTACCTAAGGTCGGTGGCTCTATGCGGGCACTTAAGCTTCCTCCACCAATAAAAACTGACTGCCATGAAATAACGCAATAGTGCTGAAAGTGGCATTAAATACCAATCAATCAATCAATCAATCATTTTATATGGAAAAGGAAGAAAATTCATGTACATTTCCCTCCCTTTTTTTAGCAAGAAGATTTTTAATGAATAAACACATAAACAATAGGGAGGATATTGATATTTTTAAAGTAGCTTTCAGACAGTATTAGAATAAATACTAAAGATATGAATAAAAGGGAATGTGAGGTTTACATCAATGAGACAGCAACCTATTAACAAACATGACAAAAAGACATCTAGGGGTCAACATACAGTCCTCAATAATGGACAGGTGTATACACTGTATTTCAAGTTAAATATCTACTTAAGTTGTGAATTCATTAAATAAAACAGACATGTCAGAAATTTATTGCATATGTCCTTCATAAATCAAACACTACTGTATAATGCATTATGATTTATGTAAAAGATTGTTTTAATTAAGTAATTTCAAAAACCTTCTTTATTCTTTCAATTATCTCATAAATGGATTTCAAAATTTTCTTTGAAAAAGAAAAAATGCTATGGGAAATTTGAATAAAATAATGATTAAGTACTGATCTGTTTAAAAAGGGAAGAGTGTTAAAATTAGTTATTTTTACTTCCCAACTACCCTGTTTAATGGGATCAAAAGACTGAGATTTTTTCCAACATGTCTTTCTTTTCCTTTGAAATGAAAGATTCCTTTGCTTCTCATTTTGAAATCTGCAGATCAACTAAGTTTTTTTCATTCATGTAGCTTTTGTTCTTATTATTTTTAATTCAAATTCTAAAATTTACCACTGGATGTTAAGCAAGCAATAATCATCCATCCATCAACATTCAATGACAAGGGAGATAATTCAAAATTTCTTGAAATCTTTATTTTTTTTAGTTAATTAAATAAGAACTGTACATCCAGTGATGTAGATGTAGTTTTGGAAAAAAGTTTTTTTTATGCGTTGACTTGAGTACTTTGAAAACTTTTAATTAAAATAGAAATAGAAAAAGATTAATGGGTATTATAATTGTATAGGATTTATCAGCTAGATTAGTAGCTACATAGTACTGTTGGTTGACTTTCACATAACAGAAAAAATGTTGTTTTCATAACACATGAGACTGTTTATAGATTTTTTGTTATATCTATATTTACCAAAAAAGGCAAGCACTTTCTATGTGAAGATAAATCAATTTGTCTTCATATTTATTTTTATTAAATTTTCTCTGTGTTTTTTTTCCCGCTGTAAGACTGATGGGCTATCACAATTCATATTGATTCAAAACAGGAACAACCACACTTATAACTTAGCAAGAAACAATTGTAAAAGAAAAACACACAATTTTTGACAGATAAAGAGTTATATATGATTTAAGTATTCAAATCGCTGTATTATCTGTTATTGTCAGTTTTTTAAAAGAATATTACATCCATACAATGCTTAATTCTTTTCTTTCCAGAGAGAATGGGTTTAGTAAACAAATGCCAGACACCAGTCCAAGGGGCACCAGTGTGTCCTACTTCGTCTAAAGTGCTGCCCCCTACACCTACATGTACAAATGAGAACAGTTGTCTAGAGTCGAAGACTATCAATAGAGAAGATACTGATTCATCAAAGGTAACGTAACCATGAAAGAAACTTGACTGAAGGGGGAGAAGGTATCATGGTAGTTTTCAATGAATATAAGCTTGATTAATGGTCTTGCTGTAATAACCATTTTTGGGGTGCAATCAAACCCCTATTGTCACTGTATTGTTTTTACTAATGTGAATAATGTGACTGGGTAAGTATGGCAATAATAAGAAGTCACAATCTGAATTCTATGCATATGTCTGTATGCAGATTTCTTGAAATCGCAATAATTAAAATCGCTTTTTTGTCCATTCTTCAAAAATTGCAATAATAAATGCTCGCAATAATTTCTGAATTTACAGTATTTAGCCAAATACCAGGCCTCTTCTCTACCTTTATCGTTAACACAATATAATGCAGTGGGGTAAACATTCTTTATATTATATCCATGCCCATCTTAAGCAATTTATTGATCAAATATACTCAGATATTCAAGTTACAAAATGATGTGTATGTGTAAAACAAAACTTGTCAAGAAAACCAAGAAAATAAGTCAGAAAGTAGTGCAAGGCACATGAAAACCAAGAGAACAATTTCAAAAAGTAGTGCATATGAATACATCTGTTCTACCTATAATCATGGACAATTAAAGATAACTCAATCAAAAATATGTCCTCAAGGAATGGCATTGCTTTGTTTATTACAATACAGTGTTTAATCTTAAGTTACTGCTCAAAAGTCACAAAGCCATGACATGAGAACTATGGAGCAACTGAGCTTTGTGATATAGGCATAAGAAAGTACAAGACATCTGTTTTTTTTATAATTTGTCAATTAGAAATTTTGTGATTTATATAGACCTTCTGTAAGATGTAATGTACAATAACACTTTCTACTTTCAGGAAGCTTCTCCTCGCTCTGATGATGAACGCCCTAATTTAGGAGGAGAAATTAAACAAGCATTTAGTAGTACCCTTACTTTACTGAGGACTAAAACAAAGTACAAGGAAGATTTTGTTTTGGAAGAAAGTCGACCCAAAGATTTAAAAGAACTGTTGATCTTACAATCCTCTGGAAGTGAGGAATCAAACTATGGGTCGATTTCTAGTCGCAGTAGTGACTCTTCAAAAGAGAATAATGGACAACCGTATAAAAAGGTCAATAATTTAAATCCTGTTCCTCAGAAACAGCAAGATTTAAAGAAAAATATAAGAAATTTCCCAAAAGACAATAAAAAGTTTTCACTTCGACCAAATAATAACAAAGTAGTGGAAGGTACTTCAAAGAAGAATTTAGATGTTTTAAAGACAAGATATGATACGCCACCTGTTGGACAAGCTGTGAATAGTGATAAAGTAATAGTACATTCAAACAATTTGCTAAACAGTGAAATTAATTCAGCAAGGAAAGAAACTACAGGAAATAGTAATTCACAAAATCAAGAGAAACCTCAGGGTCAGAGTTCAGCAAGTGTTTCAAAAGAAAGTAAAACTAGTGTTAAACAGTCTAGTCAGTCTAAAAGTGGACAAGGTCAGGTAGACTTTCAAGGTCAGAGGCAGAGAACTGTGCAAAGTTTGAGAACATCAAATTCTGGTAGATTAGAAAATGATGGAGAAAAACCTCCCATCAAAAGTAATACTATATCTACAACAGTTTCTTCAAATGCCATTGTTAAGCTTGGCACAAAGCCAGGTAGCTCTAAACCAATGCAAGTTGTTTCTAATAAACTTATTTCTAATGTTCGAGACGAAGTTCAGAGACAAAAATCTGCCAAGCAAAGTGAACAGGATACTGTAGCTGATAGAAAGAACTCTGCCAAAAATTCCTCTTTAACGAATAGTATAAAACAAATGATAAATGTTGCTAAAAGTGTTGTAGTGCCAAATTCTGGAAAGTCTAAACAGAAAAACTCTGCTGTGAGTAAATCAGTGGATTCGGGTCCATTAGTAACAACACCTGTTGAGAATAAACAAACACCTGCCATCCCGTCAGAGTTTTTACGTACTGGATCAGGGTCGGGGAAGACTGTGTACACGGATATTACTAATAATTCTGTTTCTTTGACTCCTGATATAGGTGGTCAAAACAACTCAAATACAAAAAATAGTGTTAAAGACAAAGTTACTCAAAATACAACAAACTCATCAACTCTTTCTGGAAATAAAGTAACAAATACTAAACCAGAAAATAACCAGTCAAAACGGCCTCTCCCTCAGTCTGTTGGAAAGATAAGTGGTGCTAATTCATCAAAGAATATATCACAATCTAATACTGCTGTCTCCAAATCTGTCACAAAAGTGTCTTCACCGGCCACAAGCAGAAAGAACTCGCCATCACAACAAAACAATTTATCTGCCAAAATTTCATCTTCACCCCTGATCATTAAATCAGCATCGATGTCTACTATTCAGGAATCACACAATGACAAATCGGTAAATCTGAAATCTCAATCAAATTCTAACGTTACAAAATCAGAAAGTGACTCAAATATTAAAGCTAAAACAGAAGAACAGGAACCTGCACATTTCAAATATAAACCAGCTAGTGCGGGAAAACCGCCATTAGTAGAAATATTACCGTCCGATACACCAAGGTCAAAAAGGACTCAGGGTGTTTTCATAAATCCATTGGAACCCGTAGCTACACCTATTATTGTTAATCCTTTTGAACAGTTTGAAAAGCCAACGGGTATTTCTGCAACAGAGTATGGATTTGTTGTACAAAAGCCAGGTATTGAGAGATCTAAAACACAAATTTCAATAAGAAGCAGAGGAAAGAGTGCAAAGAAGTCTGGGAAAGATGGAAAACCTGGCTCAGCTACATCCAGTAGAACTGGAGGGAAAAGAAAAGTTTTGAAAAATAAAGATGGTAAAAATTCAGATGAGGGAAATAATAGACCAAAGAGTGGAAAGCCAAAAAGAAGAATTAAATCAGGAAAACGGAGGAAAAAATCTGCAACTGATTCTGTACTTACTAAACAGTCAGAACAATCTGATATTGCTCTGATTTCTGGGATAGGTTGGCATGTAGCCACTTCCTGTTACGATAAATCTGATGTTGCTAATATACAAAGAATTGGGTCGGATTCATCAGAGTCATCAGACAGTGACGATCTAGACATGCCAACTCCAAGACATTATCGTCCATTACATATTGAAACTTCAAACCTTGCTGAATTGCCTGCACATTCTCCTAGGTTCTTGGAAGTAAAGCAAAGAGAGCAGCAGAGAAACATAAATATTCCAGTATTAGATAATGACGGCTACCCACCAATGAACCTGGATGTTACACAGAAATCATTGCCAAGTGCATTTGATATTGAAAATTTCTTGAAAAACTTGAATCAAGAATCTGGCTCAGAAATGAATTTTGATCAAGCAATTAAAAATTTGGCAATAATACCACAGGATATAGATTATGATCCAGATTATGCTAATTCACCTGAAGTTGACGAACAGACAGCAGCTTTACATAGACAAATCTTAATGGGAAAGTTAACTCCTATTCCAGAATCTCCGTCAATAAAATCCTCTCATGTTCTTAAAACTGCAGAGGCTATACAAAACTTTGATCAAAAAGTGAAAGAAGAAGCACTTAATCAGTTACTAGGACTTAATTCTGACAGAAATAATAACAAGGGTTTAGAGAATGTGGTAAATGATGTTCACAATGTGAGAAAAAGTGCAGAGAATATGGTAAGAAACAGTGCTACAGATATTGCATTAGGGAATACCCTAAATGCAAGTCCTAAACAAACTAATTCTCAGCCTCCTGGCAAAAGCAGTGGGAGGAGACGCATTGAAAAAACTCCATCGTCTGAGAAAAGGGGACATAATCCTGCAAGTAGGAGTTCTAGTAATACATCGGTGAAAGACAAAAATAATAGTGCATCAAGGTTAAATTCCAGAAACGAGTCTGGAAACTCAAAAGGTAGACTGTCACGCCAAAGTTCTAGTGACATTAGAAGGTCAAGTGAAGCCATCAATGAATCCGAGAAGCGAAAATCAAGGGAGGCAATCAATGAAGTAGGGAAAAGTAGTGAAGTTAAAATTGTGAAAGAAGAATTTATTAATGAGAGGGAGTCATCTGAAGAATGTCTGCTAGATGCAAAGGGAAACATTAGTTCTCGGAGGGAAAGAAAGTTTTCTGAAAGTAAAAGTGACCAACCAGAGGATGAAAATAATATTGATACAGTTATTGAAGAAATATTAAATAACAATACATACACGTCTACATCATCTATCAGATCTACTGGATCATTTAGAATGTCTAATCGTACCGACACAATAACTCCAGCAGATCGTCAGTTGTTGTTGAAAATGACGGCTGAGGCGGATAATTCACCATTCCATGCAGGTAGGCTTGCTGAGTCTTTTACACCTAGAGGAAATCAAATGTTTGATCGTGATGAGAAAAACAGACTTGCCGAGTCATTTACCCCAAGAGCAAATAAAGGGGAAAATAATCTCCGAAAACCTATGTTATCTGGTAGTAGTAGTCATCCTCGCCTAAATCAGAGTGTTGATTTAGAAGCTAAACAAACAATGGCTAAAATCCTTAATAGCTTCAAAAAGATGGAAATGTATGTTGGTGATCACAAACGTGAGACAAGGAAAGATGTGACAAAACCTGAGATTAGTTCATCTGTACCAACATCTGCTGTTAGGGTATCAGTTCGACCAGGAACCCCATCTAAAGTTAGATCAGCTGGTAAATTCACTGAGATTAAAAAGGAAAAGATGACCCCACGAGCTGATGAAGGGAGAGTTGTTAAGAACTCTTCAAGATTGGAGGATAGCAGGGCTGTGAAGAGTAGTTCTCATAATGTAAAGAGTAGTTCACATAAGGTAATTGGAACTTTTGATCATAAACTTAGTGCAGTGTTCATTTATTATTTTCACTGTACTTAGATAATTTCTATAATAACTGGAATTGGCACGAATTGGTGATCTACAAGTTGTGTAAACATATGCATTCATAAACGTATTTGATCTTAGCTATTATATAACCAAGGTATGAAGGTTTACCTTTAACAAAACACAATTCTTTTTAAAAGTTATACTCATCATTCATTAGCTCACCTGGCCCAAAGGGCCAAGTGAGCTTTTCTCATCACTTGGCGTCCGTCGTCCGTAAACTTTTACAAAAATCTTCTCCTCTGAAACTACTGGGCCAAATTTGACCAAACTTGGCCACAATCATCATTGGGGTATCTAGTTGAAAAAATGTTTCCGGTGACCCGGCCAACCAACCAAGATGGCCGCCATGGCTAAAAATAGAACATAGGGGTAAAATGTAGATTTTGGCTTATATCTCTGAAACCAAAGCATTTAGAGCAAATCTGACATGGGGGTAAAATTGTTTATCAGGTCAAGATCTAATTGCCCTGAAATTTTCAGATGAATCTGACAATCTGTTGTTGGGTTGCTGCCCCTGAATTGGTAATTTTAAGGAAATTTTGCCGTTTTTGGTTATTAACTTGAATATTATTATAGATAGAGATAAACTGTAGACAGCAATAATGTTCAGCAAAGTAAGATCTACAAATAAGTCAACTTGACCAAAATGGTCAAATGACCCCTTAAGGAGTTATTGCCCTTTATAGTCAATTTTTAACCATTTTTCGTAAATTTTTGTAACCTTTTACAAAAATCTTCTCCCCTGAAACTACTAAGATAAATTTAACCAAACTTGTCCACAATCATCATTAGGGTATCTAGTTTAAAAAATGTGTCCGTGAACCAAGATGGCCAACATGGCTAAAAAATAGTACATAGGGTAAAATGCAGTTTTTGGCTCATATCTCTGAAACCAAAGCATTTAGAGCAAATCTGACAAGGATAAAATTGTTCATTAGGTCAAGATCTATCTGCCCTGAAATTTTCAGACCAATCAGGCAACACGTTGTTGGGTTGCTGCCCCTGAATTGGTAATTTTAAGAAAATTTTGCAGCTTTTGGTTATTATCTTGAATTTTATTATAGATAGAGATAAACTGTAAACAGCAATAGTGTACAGCAAAGTAAGATCTACAAATAAGTCAACATGACCAAAATTGTCAATTGACCCCTTAAGGAGTTATTGCCCTTTATAGTCAATTTTTTACAATTTTCATAAATTTTGTAAATTTTGGTAAATTTTTACAAAATATTTTCCACTGTAACTACTGGGCCAAGTTCATTATAGATAGAGATAATTGTTCAGTAAAGTAAGATCTACAAACACATCACCATCACCAAAACACAATATTTGTCATGAATCCATCTGTGTCCTTTGTTTAATATGCACATAGACCAAGGTGAGCGACACAGGCTCTTTAGAGCCTCTAGTTTTTATTTAACTATAACTTTTTATGCCCCCCGCTGTAGCGGAGGGGGCATTAAGTTTTACCCTTGTCCGTCTGTATGTCTGTACGTCCCAAAATTGGTTCAGTTCTCTAACTTTAGTTTGCCTCAACCAAATCTTATGAAACTTAAACACAATGCTTATTACCACAAAACACAAATCAAGTTTTAATTTTGGTGGCGTCACTTTTAACGTTCTAGAGTTATGCCCTTTTACAAATGGAAAAATTGCTGAATTTTTCGTTTCCATTCTCTTACTTTAGTTTGCCTCAACCAAATGTTATGAAACTTATACACAATGCTTATTTCCACAAATTCAGATCACGTTTGAATTTTGGTGGCGTCACTTTTACTGTTCTAGAGTTGTGCCCCTTTACAAATGGAAAAATTGCTGAATTTTTTGTTTCCGTTCTTCAACTTCAGTTATGAAATTTATACACAATGCTAATTACCACAAAACTCAGATCAAGTACAAATTTGGGTAGCGTCACTTTTACAGTTCTTGAGTTATGTCCCTTTATAACATTATATGCAAGCGGGAGCATCATCTGTGTCCCATGGACACATTCCCCATTTATTTTCATAAATAAGGGTAGCATACATTTTTAAGATTGAAAAAGTGGATAAAAAAAATTCTTGTAAGGACTCATTTATCAGGCACCAGGAGAATCCAATATACAGGATTATACAAATTACATGTGTCTCACCCTGAACATGCATGAAATATTTGCCACTGGACAAACAAACAACAATCAATCATGCCTGTTTCTACTTTACATTTACAGCAGAAATCTTTCATCAGACAGTCAGTAGAACCAAGTATACAAGTAGAATTACCTGTGATACCTGTCGCTGGAGGTGATTTTGATGAGGAAGACTTACTGATACCTGATAATGAGGTATGATCTATTTTTAATAAAAGGAGATTGGATATATGTCTTTGAGACCTAATGAAACAAATAACCATAAACATCTAGTGGTACAGTCTTCAATAATAGATGGATGCCTTTACAATAAGTCAAGCACAAAAACATACTATGTCTTAAAAAACATGAAAAAGTTGTGCATAAATCAAACCGAAACTGATGAAAATCTGCCATTAATCCTGCTTGAAAGGCATAGGAATTTGGATTCTCTCACTTTTTATGCCCCCGCCGTAGCGTAGGGGGCATTAAGTTTTACCCTTGTCCGTCTGTACGTCTGTACGTCCGTCCCTACGTCCCAAAATTGGTTTCCGTTCTCTAACTTTAGTTTGCCTCAACCAAATATTATGAAACTTATACACAATGCTTATAACCACAAAACACAGATCAAGTTTGAATTTTGGTGGCGTCACTTTTACCAGTCTAGAGTTATGCCCCTTTACAAATGGAAAAATTGCTGAATTTTTCGTTTCCATTCTCTAACTTAAGTTTGCCTCAACCAAATGTTATGAAACTTATACACAATGCTTATTACCACAAAACACAGATCAAGGTTGATTTTGGTGGTGTCACTTTTACCATTCTAGAGTTGTGCCCCTTTACAAATTTAAAAATTGCTGAATTTTTCGTTTCCGTTCTCTTAAGTTTGTATCAACTAAATGTTATGAAACTTATAAACAATGCTTATTACCACAAAACTCAGATCAAGTACAAATTGGGTAGCATCACTTTTACAGTTCTTCAGTTATGTCCCTTTATAACGTTATATGCAAGCGGGGGCATCATCTGTGTCCCATGGACACATTCCCCATTTATTTTTTATTCAACATATCGAATTTAGTAATGAATGTAATTATAAATATTGTAAGATATCATTGCAATAGTTTAACTATTTTCATTTATTCACTTGTCACTGCCTAAAGTTTTCAACCAACAAATTTGCAATGATTCTAAATTGTTGCATATAGATGCATAATAAAGTTGCAGATTTTAAAGTATCTCAATAAAGGTTGCACTAAATCAAATTATAATTGCTGATTAAATTATTTTTTAAGATTGCACTATAAAGTCAAAAGGTCAGAGGTGTCATTCAAATGTATATTGCATCAGCTGAAATGATGCCCTGCCTTTTCAATGTCCAAAAGATCTACAAATAACATTGACCAAAATAGCTAATCACTCTATTTATCAGGGAAATTACCTGATCTTTACTGAAGATTTGTCTGATATATGTGTTAATTAATTTCTAAACAGGTATACATTATGTAGCTAAAGTGATTTAAATAGTCATAGGTGACATTGACATACATTTATTATACAATGAGAAGGTGTGTATTGAAATTCTTATTAAAAGAAGTTAGAAACTTTACATTAGTCTGGTGTTAACACATGATTGATATGAGGTAGTCATTCCCAAGGTCGCCGGACATTGGGCAAAGTCCAGTAAAAAACTGGTTTGGTCCAGTAAAGTGATATGCATCACGTATACTGGACCAAATGACCAGTAATTTTTTTATTTTGGTCCAAATTATATGTGTAAATGTCCTGTAAAGAGTCTGGTCTAGTTAAGAAGAATTGTTTACTGGACCAAATTTCCAGTTGATTTCTTAAAGCCTTGGGAACCACTGATGAGGCTATATCATTTGTGAGAGTATATACATGTCTATTAGTTTAGCCATAGAAGCTGTGAAAGCAAGACGTTTTGATTTTAATTGTACTAAAGTTTTGACTTTAAAATAAAAATTAGAAAAATAATGAATGTTTAAATAAGTTAGCAAAAACCATAAAAACTGCCCACATATTTTAAAAGTAGTTGAACAAAGTATTTGAGTTTCAAACTAGAGATTTAGAACTGTCACATTTCAATGGGATGAAGCAGCTTTGTTTTGGTGAATCAGTAGACTTTTATGATGGCTAGTTTTTTTTTAATTTCAATATGATATTTCATATAAAAAGAAGATGTGGTATGATTGCCAATGAGACGACTCTCCACAATAGACCAAATGACACAGGAATTAACAACTATAGGTCACTGTACGGCTTTTTTGTCTGATTGGTTTCTTTTTAATATATATGTTTACTTATTTAAAACAGCAATATAAACAATTGTTAATATGATACTGATCCCTACTGTAGAAGTCTTTTGATGTAAATACTTATCTTCATTTCCAGACAATTTTCAGCCATTTATCAAGTTCTGACAGTAGATCAGGCAGTGCTTGTACAGTATTTTCCCAGGCAGAGGAAACCATACAGTGGAAAAAAGGCAATGTTCTGGGTAAAGGGGCATTTGGAACAGTAAGTACAAATTTTGTATTTATAAGAAAGGTGGCTTTTCATTTATGGTAGACCTCTTGTATTTATATTCCAACACTTAACCTTTTTTTGGTTTGAATCTAAAAAAACATTTACCTCTGTACTTTTGAGCTAAGTGACAGCCGTATGAATAATGAAATAATTTTTTGTATTTACAGTATCAGAAATGAGTAAAAGAACCATTGACAGTATATTGAAATAAATCTTGACTAAGGGACATAACTCTAGTAATAAAAAGAGATCAATATTATGAGGATGTGAAGGTCATTTAGGATAGTTTAAGAGCAGAAGAGTAAATGTTAACTTAACTAAATGTAACTTGAATCACTAGAGATTAAAATTGTAGTTAGAATTAAATTAATTAATTTATGTATCATCTACAAAAACATATTTAAAAAACAGACCTGCCAACTATCCTGATTTATGGGGGATATCCCCCATGAGGTGTTGATCTGAATTTTGAAATTCTTTATTATATAAACTGAACACCTCAAAACAGGCATTCAAATGAGTAGGAAGGATATTTAAACACATACATACTCATTTTCAACTAATATAGTAGTAGATTAAAAACACTTATGACAGTATTAGAGGAGCATTAGGTCCTCTTGCGCTTAAAATCCTCCATGGAGATTTTGAAAAGTTGGCAGTTATGAAAACAGAAAATGTTTATATTATATTAAAACATTAAAAGTTCTTGATTTGTTGAAGTTCGAAATTTCCTTCAAATAAATGTATATATTTAGGTATGGTGTGGTTTGACTAATGAGGGACAGTTGATAGCTGTTAAACAGATAGAATTAAATACAATGGACCAGGACAAGGCAAAGAGAGAATATGAAAAGGTTCAAGAAGAAGTGGAACTTCTCAAAACACTTAATCATAAAAATATTGTAGGGTGAGTTTTACATCATCAGAAGTATCAAATTTGTATTCATTCCATTTCCTTTTCCTGTGGTTTCTAAATAAGAACCCTCAAGGAAACTTTTTAAAGAATGTGTTTTAATTTATATGCATTAAAGCGTATTTCGTTTACTTCATTGAAACAGTAATGCAGTATAAACACCAGTGTTAGAAAGAAGACATTTAGCTATGGAAGTCACCATATAATTTTCATTATAGAAAAAGCCTATACAACATCAGTTCTACAGAAATACCAAACAGAAGACATCTAGCTATGGAAGTCACCATATCATTTACATAATAGAAAAAGCCTATACAACATCAGTTCTACAGAAATACCAAACAGAAGACATCTAGCTATGGAAGTCACCATATCATTTACATAATAGAAAAAGCCTATACATCAGTTCTACAGAAATACCAAACAGAAGACATCTAGCTATGGAAGTCACCATATCATTTACATAATAGAAAAAGCCTATACAACATCAGTTCTACAGAAATACCAAACAGAAGACATCCAAATAATTGTCAATATATACACACCATCAACCTTTGATAGTATTTTTTCCGATTAGGAAATAGATAGGTTACGATATTTTGAGTTTGAGTTATTTCCCTTGGCCACCATTCTGGAGGGATAAATGGTTGATTTACCTATTTGACTAACCAAATTGAATGAATGAATGAATAATTATTTGCAAAAGCATATAGAACATGCTATGGCAATACATAATATATACACAATGTGACAAAAGACTGATAACAGAGAACAATACAATAATAACATAACTAACCAATAATATCAGATCTAGCTTTCCAGGCATTCTTTGAATAGTTACAGAGCTTAATTGTAAGCGATCTAGAATTAGCTTTCAACAAACAAGATAGTTTAAAAATATCTAATAGGCCATGAACAATAATAGCATGGCAGAAAAAAAAATTCTAATTGCCCTATATGCTGGACATACCAATACAAAATGGAATTCATTCTCAACACATTGCATTTTACAACATACACATAAACGCATTTCTCTTGGTATATCAGAGAAGCGACCAACTTCAACATTTTAGTTTCAAAGTACCACTTCGTAGTTTTGTAGGAATGTGAACATTATTAATGTAGCTTACATAATTCCCAAGACAAAAATCAAACTTTATACTTCTATATACACTTAATTTCTCACAGTCACATATATCTGTAGATATTGGTCTTTAATGCGTGTCTTTATAACATCAAATGATATATTAATATTAATTTGGTCAATCCAAATAGGGTTCATTCCAAGACTAAGTAAAAAATCACGCACATTAGATGCCCGATTAATTTTACCTTGATTTGCATCATCATATAAAATGTTATATACATCATATACAAAAGCTGGTTTATATATATAACAATATGTAACCAATACTTTAAGATTAATTGTTTTCTCAAAACATACATAGGTAGATGACCAAGCTCACCACACAGAAAACTAATAGGAGCATGTTTACCTAATTTTAAAACAAACCTACAAAAACGTTTATGGATAATCTATGTCGTTGGCGCGGTGAAAACCCCATATTTCGGAAGAATAGTTCAGTACTGATCCAACCATACTGTCGTAAAGAAGACATTTTTCATTGAATCATGCAGTACAAACAAGTCTGATAAAAGATCCTTACTAGATTGTAGAGAAGAATCAAGCAAGGCTAAAAGAAATTGAAATAGTTTAGAACCAACTTTTTCTGAAGTCTTGCGGTCAGTATAACAAGTTGAATTTGGCTGATTAAAGAAGGCAACAAAAGGGAAATAACTCTTGCTTATATTGTGTCAATCAAAACCTATCTTTACCAGAAATCAACACGAAATGAAAAGAAAACAAACTATTATTCAAGTTACTTCATTTTTGGACTATTGAATTATTCTGTTAACTTCTTTCAAAGCAAAACAAGTTTCAGTTTTATGTGTTAAGAAAAATGATGGTTATTTCAGATATCTTGGAACTAGTCTAGAAGAAAACATTGTCAGTATATTCATGCAGTTTGTACCTGGTGGTTCTATAGCCAGTATATTGGCCAGATTTGGTGCTTTAGATGAAGCTGTGTTCAGAAAATATACAAAACAGATTCTAGAGGGCGTGGAATATCTCCATTCTAATGACGTTATACACAGGTTTGTAGATCACTCAATTATGGAAAAAAATGTCTAGCCTAAGAGAAAACAACTTATGCTATCATTAGATAGTAGTTTAATATTTTTAATGGGAACTTTCATATGGCAAATTTCAAGTTATGTTTTAATAAATTGATTAGATACATAAAGAATATTGGGGTTTTCATGCACCGAAAACAAAATACCTAACTTATCAAAATCAAGGTATGTTTTAGCTATTACTGAAAGTTTCCCAACCATGCTGTATATTTGACTCAAAGTAGGTTTATTTATCAGTTTAGTATCTAAAAAGTTTTATTGTTGTTGTTTTTTCCAGAGATATAAAAGGAGGAAACGTAATGTTAATGCCAAATGGGATTATAAAATTAATAGACTTTGGATGTGCCAAACGATTGTGTATAAATCTCAGCATGGGACAGTCACAAATTCTCAAGTCCATGAAAGGTACACCATATTGGATGGCTCCAGAGGTTGTCAATGAAACTGGACATGGAAAGAAATCAGATATATGGTAAGTTTTAAAAAGTATCAAAGCTTTATATCTAAAAATTTTGCGAGCTTATTATTAGAGAGGAAGTTGTCCAACTAAAATCTCAGCTTGATTTGACTAAAATATTCTAAGTTTACTATATTAAGAGGAAGATTGTAGAAGACTAAAAACAAAACTTTCACTAGACTTATACAAATTGGAGACAATGGTAAACCAGAAAAAAAACAGATCAAGAATTTTAAAAATACTTGTTCCACCCCCTTACATTTTTTGTCCACAACAGCCCTAAATGATTTTTACTTGTATTTTTAGGAGTGTTGGTTGTACTGTATTTGAAATGGCAACTAGGAAACCTCCATGGTAAGTTTATACTAATGAATACTAATTAGGGCCACGCCTAGTGGCGGGTCGCCTTATAGTGATCATTCTGTCCGTCCGTAACAAATTGTGTCCGCTCTATATCTAGAGAACCATTATAATTTTATACTTTATACTTGACATGTATATTAACCAACACCAGAGGGTGTGTCATAATGTTTGTTCAACTTCCTAGGTCAAAGTTCAAGGTCAGCGGGCAGCACACAACAGCCATATTCAGGGTTTTGACCAGGGACATACAGAATGTGAGGAACTATACATGTTTGTGAGCTCTCTGAACTCAGGGCATTATATAATATGAAAATTACCCTAAGCCCTTTACAACATGATATCAATTCACAGATACAAGTATTTACAATAAAATAAGAAAGCCTATGGTAAAAATTTAGCATACCAGTATGAGAAATGATCACTAATAACAATTTTAAAAAAATTAAAAAAAGATGTTAAACTTTATAAAAACCTTATTTTAAATATCTTGCATATAAAACTATACTATTACATTCACTGTTAAACAAAAAAATGTTAAAAATGGGCATGGTAAAATAAAAAGACAATAAAACAGTACAAATAAAAAGAAGTTAGAAATTCAAAAATATTTAGTATGTTTGTACACCAACCAAATATTCTATTTCAAAACTTAAATTCAAGCAATATATTAAATCTTTGATTATAACCAAGGCTTCCAAAACGGTCATATATTCCGGACATTTGTATAATGTCCGGTAAAAGTCCAGCTGGGCAAAGCATGAAACGGACATCTACTTTTTAGTTTTCAAGGCTTTCTTAGGAGACGGTCATTTTAACATAATTCGCGATCTTTATGACCCAACCTTTTGCCTTTAACAGCCACACATTTCCGGTCATAAAAGTGACATGATCATTAAGTACTATCAAAACAACCCCTACTTTAATACCTTCTCATTTTAATCAAGGCTAATTAGTTGTCGAACAGCTGAAATTTACCTGTTCAGGTGACAGGTAAACTATTTTGAACCGGACATTGATCGGTCTATTCAAAGTTATTTTCTTACATTTCAGCGGTTTGCATCTAATTAATTTAGTCAAAAAGATATTAATTATCAGAAATACGTTTACAAATATGATTTGATGAAAAAATTAAAAAGGTGAAAATGAAAAATCGTCATAACCACGTTGTTTGAACCAGAGACATGTTTGAACTAGTACACGTGTGCGCATGTGCGCAGGTGTGAAATTTAATTATGCAGCCTAATTTCTTCAAAAAATACTTAAATTGTCATTGATGCCTTTATCTCACGTTTATTTCGAATATTTTCTTGAAGAAATAACGTAGAAAGAGCTACTTATACTCGTTCATGCTTTGCAAACGTACACGGAATTTACGTATCCGTCTCTGGTCCATGTTTTACCATTGTCAAGATAACATCCGGTTTAAAAACGAAAGTAAAGTTTTTGACAACGTTATTTTGCCAAAATAAGTCTAAGGCAGATATAAGTACGCTGATCTTGCACACTTCGAATGATGCACTGCCAATTTAACAGTTTACGTCAGAACTTCGAATTTGAATCAAAGGAAGTTTAATATCGTTTTTAATGTCAATCATTGGGATGTCCAACTCGGCAACTGATTACCATAATTGCCTTTTGTTTATTTAGTCTTAAGGGATTAAAATCGGAATAATATATAAAATGTCCGGCTGGCTAAAAATAATTTTGGAAGCCCTGATTATAACATAGTATGACAGTATTGATAGAATATTCCCATTTAATGCTGGTATTGATAGAACATTGAAATGTGTCTGTGTGTCCTGACGTGGGACAGGCATATACAGAATGTGGCGGGCTAAACATGTTTGTGAGTGCTCTCAACTCACCCCCTATGAGTATGTTTGTATGCCAACCAAATATTCTATTTCAAAATCCTAATTAGAATTTGAAATATATTAAATCTTTGATTATAACATTTTCTGCCAGTATAAATAGAACAATAAAATGTGATGTCTGTATTACAGGTCGGATATGAACCCTATGGCAGCCATATTTGCTATTGGTTGTGACAGACCTGTGCCAGAGCTGCCAGAAAGGTTCACCCTAGAGGCCAGAGATTTTGTAAACAGTTGTCTTACCAGGTACAGTCTTTATGTTGTTTGATGGGGTTAAGGGGGGAGGGGTACAAACCACGTTCCACATTACTTGGCTGGTGTTACCTCAGCAGATACTTTTAGAACATCTATACAAATGTATTTTGAGGGAATGGTGTGATGGGGGAGAGAGATAACAAATCTATGCTGTAATAACTTTATGAGTTCTCCATTGAAGTCAGATATAATTTGTTGTCTTGCAACATAATGTCTTAATCTGTATTGACATTTTATTTAAGGCATTTCTTTTCTGAAATTTCCAATTTTTTATTTGGAAGAAAAGACTGTTTTACCATATGAAAAAAACATCCTTTTGTCTCGCTTTGACAAAGTCGAGAAGGTGAGACTGTTAGTGATGTTTCTACTGTCTGTGGCATCAACAGTAAAGTATGTAATTAGTTCTTTGTAAGGGGAACCACTGATGATAAGTTAATGATATTTGGTATGCAGTTGTATTAGCATTGGCATATCTCATTTCCATGGATTTTTTTTGGCCCTACACCTTCATTTTTGCATATTTTACATGTTAAAGTTTGCATTTTGCTATAAAAATTACATTTAGGCAAGATATATCTCTGTGTCAACCTTTTTTTCTTCCCTACCATGCTATGGTATTTAAGAGGAAATTGATGAGAAGGATGTAATTACTTTGGTTGAGTTTGATAGATTTATTTATTTTTACTTTACAGGGACCAAAGTAAGAGATTATCAGCTACTCAACTATTGCATCATGAATTTCTTATACGAAGGAGACATTCAACAAAGAAATAAGAAAAACCCTAGTATATATGTTTTTATACTTCATGAGACGAAAAGTCTTTCTGCAGACCAATTAGATAGCAGAATTAGTACACAACATGTACCTAATGGAAGAAGACTTTGGACAATAAAATGATGAAACCTTGTAAAGGACACTTGTCTATGACATTCTATATGTAAATGATAAAACCATAAACAATATAGACCTCACAATGTGTACCTGCAGTAAACCTTTTATGAAGAATGATTGAACCTAATATGCAGATTATAAGAGACTGCAGTGGAAAAGAAATTAGTTGAATTTATTTTACATCAAGAAAGAAGTTTGAATCATACCTGAGATTTATAACTACTCATAATATATTTTTCTTATAAGAATGATCTTAAAACATCTTTGAATGATTGAAAACAGTATATTACTAGAGTAACTTCTTGATGGGTCTAAGCTATGACATAAATTATGGAAGTGACCATTTTGTTTCAATCATTAGTAAAGAGTCATGATTTACCTAAATATACCTCATGTATTTATATGAATTTTGATTATGATGGACCACATGTGTAACATTTGAAGAATTAACTATAAGGGACCCAAATAATAGACATAGAGACTAGGGGGTCATGATGAAAGGTGCAATGTATGTAAAAAGAAGTAACTATTATGGGACCAGGTTTAAAGAAGGACTATGTTTCAAGGGGTACCATCAAAGGACATTATTAAAGATGGTTAACATTACGGGACCAATATTGAAGAGTTTCATACATGAAGAGATCATTATTAAAGACTCGAACTAAAAGGACTATGATTAAAAAAGTAATATCTATGGACCACAATTAGAAACATAAAAGGACAGTGATTAAAGAGGCATGAAAGGACCACAGTTAAAGATGTTAACTTTAATTGATTATGATCCAACATTATTGAAATGACCAAAGTTTTATATGAATGAATAGAGAGTTATGAAAATTCTGCCATAGGTTTTTTATTTATATCAGGTGACAAAATTAGTCATATATGAATGTGTTCAAGCGATAATGTTTTAATCACTTTACTTTAAATGTTTCATTTAAATGTAGATCATGAAAGGACAAAAAGCTGAGCTAATGACAAGTGAAGTATGACATAAAGATGTCAAGTGTAAAATGAATAATTTGTTGATAGCATTGTTTTATCAAAAATTTAGATTTAAACATATTTTAATGTTTTAGTCCAGCAAAACTGTTTAAATGAGGTTTTTTTAAATAATTTTATTTGATATTAATTTGATATATTTTTAGATGCTCTTTTTATAAAATTTGATATCAATTATTTAGATTTTGGAATACACTCTACATTCCCTTAATATTTCAACAAAACCTCCATCTTTAATCATAATTTTTACAACATACAATTTCAATATACATTGTCATAAACCATAACATATTTGTCATACTATGTCATTACTTAATGTTGTTAACTTATACAACATGCAATTCAAGTACGCATTGTCATAAACCATAACATATTCATACTTTGTCAGAACTCACTGTAATAAACCATTACACATCTGACATTCTATGTCAGTACTCACTGTAATAAACCATTACATATCTGACATTCTAGGTCAGTATTCACTGTAATACACCATGTCATGTTTGTAAGTGTCACCATTGATATGATTTGATCACCATTGATATGATTTGATCACCATCCATAATTTCACCATCAATTAGTGCAAGAAAACATTTAAGATGCAATATAAAGTCATGGAATTATTTACATTGTCTTGTTGTGCAAGTTCTGTTTCATGGAAATGTAGATTAATTTTATTTCATTGAAGAGAAATCCAATTATGTGTATTGTTAATTCATAGTAAGCCTAATTAACCTCACGTTGTAATTTCTACCGTTTACCTCAATAAAAGTAATTAATTGTACTGGGGTAATCTATACTGTTCATTTCAGTTGAAGTGATTAATATGAATACAATTTTTAAACCTAAGAGAGAAAATGGATCTTGTATTATGGTTTAGGTTAAATATAATAAAATTATTAGCAAGAGGAAGAAATCTCAGACACTTATGTGTAAGATTTCCAGTCTCTGAAATGTCTTGTTGGAGTAACAGATGATAGGAAATCTTACTCGATCTTGTCTGAGATTTCCAAGTCTGTTATTTGCAGTAATTGATTCTTGGAAATCAATCAATTATTAAAGGGTGTATTCCGTTTGAATCGTAAAATACAGTAATTTAATGTAGCTAATTAAAGTTGTGAATTAGTATCCAAAGTTGTGGCTTGTATTATTAGAGTATCAATATGCCAATTGATTTAATCTTACATGTTAAATATTTACTTATAAATGCTGTACTTACAAGTTGTTGTGACAGTTTGTTATTTTGTGATAAATGGTATCCGTTGACAACGAGGTCTAACCTCGCTATACATGTGTCTAAATGTTGTATAGATGCACACTCAAAACACTAGTTTGTGCTCAAGCTAGATATTAGCAACATTAATGCAAATCAAGACATAAGTTTTGACCTTGAGATAAGACAGTATGAAACAACTCTATGGTCTATTGAGATTTTTAATACAACTGCCTATGATAATTCTGTCCATGCCTGCATCTGGCATTTATTATTTACACTGCTACAGTGATAAGTGCATTTATTGTGTGTTTGTGTGTAAATATGTTTAGAATATTTGCATCAGGTTTAATGTTTTGGAGATTTAATATTTAGGTCTATTTTAATGGTTTGTGGTTGAAGTAATTTTTGTACTTTTAAAAAGAGATTATTGATTTGAGGAATAGAATAGGTGAATAAAGATATTCCAGAAACCAGTGTTGTGAACACGAAAATCACACAATTTGTGTTTTTTACATGACTATCATTTAGACTCAAATTTTACATTTCTGTCAAATGCAATTCATTATTAGAGTAGTGCTAAACTTTTGTATTATTTATGTTATGTATATCAAAACATGATGAATATAAGTGATATTTTTCATGTATGAAAGCTATATTCCATGTCTGAAGCTGTTATAGTTATTTTTATCAATTCAATAAAAGATCCAATTGAATTTTACAACAAGTAGCAAAATTTAAGAAACATCATTTTGTTGTTTTATTTGTCAGAATTTGTCTTTTCGATGTATTTACTATATATTTTCATTTGAAATAAGTAGATTGCTATGAAAAGCAGTATATTTTATAGAAATCAGGATAAATATCAATGTGATAAAAATACAAATCCAGTGTCCACACTTAGCTTACCAGGATTTGACAACACTCCGTTCTTCTTTCTCTTCTGCTAATTATTACTTCAGTCAATACCATTTCAACCTTCAAATTTTTCAAGGTGTTTATCTAGGGCAAAAATAGAGGATTTTAAAAGGTCTTTTAAAAAAACAGAAAATAGAGTGAAGTGTCAGATTCTGGTAAACAAAGTCGGACACAGGATCTGTTTTTAACCAGATTGCATATAATGTGGTAAGATAACCTAGTTTATACAATTCATACAGTAAAAATCACAATAAGTTCTATCATTAAACTAGTCACAGAGTTATCTTACTGAGAAATAGAGTAGACCTGTATTCATTGGTATATTTTTAATCTCATACATACAAAGTAAATGTTTATATTTTTTGTGCTTACAAGGCTTGGATTTTTCACTGGAAATATTTTGAAATTTGTCATTTTTACTAAAATGTTTCAGAAACCACCTGACATAAAATTTATTTAAAGAAATTCAAGCCTGTTTGTGATCCAGAGTAAATGTAACTATTTTTTAGTGTAGACCAAGCCTGTTTGTGATCAGAGTAAATGTAACTATTTTTTAGTGTAGACCAGTATAGACTGGTGTCCTGTCTGTGATAACTTTTGTGATGGTCATTAATAGATTGTCTTCCTTTGAAAATAAAATATTTCACTAGTATTTTTTTATTACTTTCTTGTCAGTCTTCAAAAAAGGAATGACTATGTTGTTACAGAGAGGAATCATAGCTGATATAAAGTCTTTGTTCACTGATTACATTGAGGGATCATAGCTGATATGTAGTCTTTGTTCAATGATTACAGAGAGGGATTATAGCTGATATAAAGTCTTTGTTCACTGATTACAGAGAGGAATCATAGTTGATATGTAGTCTTTGTTCACTGATTACATTGAGGGATCATAGCTGATATGTAGTCTTTGTTCAATGATTACAGAGAGGGATCATTGCTGATATAAACTCTTTGTTCACTGATTACATGGAGGGATCATAGTTGATGTAAAGTCTTTGTTCATTGATTACATTGAGGGATCATAGTTGATGTAAAGTCTTTGTTCAATGATTACATGGAATGATCATAGTTGATATGTAGTCTTTGTTCATTGATTACAGAGAGGGATCATAGTTGATATAAAGTCTTTGTTCACTGATAATATAGAGGGATCATAGCTGATATAAAGTCTTTGTTCACTGATTACACGGAGGGATCATAGTTGATATGGAGCCTTTGTTCATTGATTACATGGAGGGATCATAGTTGATATGCAGCCTCTGTTCACTGATTACATGGAGGGATCATAGTTGATATGCAGTCTTTGTTCAATGATTACATGGAGGGATCATAGTTAATATGTAGCCTTTGTTCGCTGATTACAGAGAGGGATCATAGCTGATATAAAGTCTTTTGACACATTCCCCATTTCCATTCTCAATTTTATTTGTTCACTGATTACAGAGAGGGATCATAGCTGATATAAAGTCTTTTGACACATTCCCCATTTCCATTCTCAATTTGATTTGTTCACTGATTACAGAGAGGGATCATAGCTGATATAGAGTCTTTGTTCACTGATTACATGGAGGGATCATAGTTGATATGTAGCCTTTGTTCATTGATTACATGGAGGGATCGTAGTTGATATGCAGTCTTTGTTCATTGATTACATGGAGGGATCATAGTTGATATGTAGCATTTGTTCACTGATTACAGAGAGGGATCATAGCTGATATAAAGTCTTTGTTCACTGATTACATGGAGGGATCATAGTTGATGTAAAGTCTTTGTTCACTGAGTACATTGAGAGATCATAGCTGATATAAAGTCTTTGTTCACTGAGAACATGGAGGGATCATAGCTGATATAAAGTTTTTGTTCACTGATTACATTGAGAGATCATAGTTGATATGTAGTCTTTGTTCAATGATTACAGAGAGGGATCATAGCTGATATAAAATCTTTGTTCACTGATTACATTGAGAGATCATAGCTGATATAAAGTCTTTGTTCACTGAGTACATTGAGAGATCATAGCTGATATAAAGTCTTTGTTCACTGATTACATGGAGGGATCATAGTTGATATAAAGTTTTTGTTCACTGATTACATTGAGAGATCATAGTTGATATGTAGCCTTTGTTCACTGATTACAGAGAGGAATCATAGCTGATATGAAGTTTTTGTTCACTGATTACATTGAGAGAACATAGCTGATATAAAGTCTTTGTTCACTGATTACATGGAGGGATCATAGCTGATCTAAAGTCTTTGTTCAATGATTACATGGAGGGATCATAGTTGATATAAAGTCTTTGTTCATTGATAACATTGAGAGATCATAGCTAATAAAGTCTTTGTTCACTGATTACAGAGAGGGATCATAGTTGATATGTAGCCTTTGTTCACTGATTACATGGAGGGATCATAGTTGATATGTAGCCTTTGTTCACTGATTACATGGAGGAATCATAGGTGATATGCAGTCTTTGTTCAATGATTACATGGAGGGATCATAGTTGATATGTAGTCTTTGTTCACTGATTACATTGAAAGATCATAGCTGATATAAAGTCTTTGTTCACTGATTACATTGAGATATCATAGTTGATATAAAGTTTTTGTTCACTGATTACAGAGAGGGATCATAGTTGATATGTATTCTTTGTTCACTGATAACATGGAGGGATCATAGTTGATATGCAGTCTTTGTTCATTGATTACATGGAGGGATCATAGTTGATATAAAGTCTTTGTTTAATGATTACATGGAGGGATCATAGTTGATCTGTAGCCTTTATTTACTGATTACATGGAGGAATCATAGTTGATATGCAGTCTTTGTTCAATGATTACATGGAGGGATCATAGTTGATATGTAGTCTTTGTTCACTGGTTACATTGAAAGATCATAGCTGATATAAAGTCTTTGTTCACTGATTACATTGAGATATCATAGTTGATATAAAGTTTGTGTTCACTGATTACAGAGAGGGATCATAGTTGATATGTAGTCTTTGTTCACTGATAACATGGAGGGATCATAGTTGATATGTAGTCTTTGTTCACTGATTACAGAGAGGGATCATAGCTGATATGAAGTCTTTGTTCACTGATTACATGGAGGGATCATAGTTGATGTAAAGTTTTTGTTCAATGATTACATGGAATGATCATAGTTGATATGTAGACTTTGTTCATTGATTACAGAGAGGGATCATAGTTAATATAAAGTCTTTGTTCACTGATTACATGGAGGGATCATAGTTGATGTAAAGTCTTTGTTCAATGATTACATGGAATGATCATAGTTGATATGTAGTCTTTGTTCATTGATTACAGAGAGGGATAATAGTTGATATAAAGTCTTTGTTCACTGATTACATTGAGAGATCATAGCTGATATAAAGTCTGTGTTTAATGATTACATGGAGGGATCATAGTTGATCTGTAGCCTTTATTTAATGATTACATGGAGGGATCATAGTTGATATGCAGTCTTTGTTCAATGATTACATGGAGGGATCATAGTTGATATGTAGCCTTTGTTCACTGATTACAGAGAGGGATCATAGCTGATATAAAGTCTTTGTTCACTGATTACAGAGAAGGATCATAGCTGATATAAAGTCTTTGTTCACTGATTACATGGAGGGATCATAGTTGATATGTAGCCTTTGTTCACTGATTACATGGAGGGATCATAGCTGATATGCAGCCTTTGTTCACTGATTACATGGAGGAATCATAGTTGATATGCAGTCTTTGTTCACTGATTACAGAAAGGGATCATAGCTGATATAAAGTCTTTGTTCTCTGATTACAGAGAGGGATCATAGCTGATATAAAGTCTTTGTTCACTGATTACATGGAGGGATCAGTTGATATGTAGCATTTGTTCATTGATTACGTGGAGGGATCATAGTTGATATGCAGTCTTTGTTCAATGATGACATGGAGGGATCATAGTTGATATGTAGTCTTTGTTCACTGATTACATTGAGAGATCATAGCTGATATAAAGTCTTTGTCACTGATTACCTGGAGGGATTATAGCTGATGTAAAGTCTTTGTTCAATGATTACATGGAGGGATATCATAGTTGATATGTAGTCTTTGTTCATTGATTACAGAGAGGGATCATAGCTGATATAAAGTCTTTGTTCACTGATTACAGAGAGGGATCATAGCTGATATAAAGTCTTTGGTCACTGATTACAGAGAGGGATCATAGCTGATATAAAGTCTTTGTTCACTGATTACAGAGAGGGATCATAGCTGATATGCAGCCTTTGTTCATTGATTACATGGAGGGATCATAGTTGATATGCAGTCTTTGTTCACTGATTACATGGAGGGATCATAGTTGATATGCCGTCTTTGTTCCCTTTTTACATGGAGGGATCATAGTTCAGTCTTTGTTCACTGATCACATAGGATTCATATAAGATATAGGATCGTCAGAGTCGATATGCCGTCTTTGTTCACTGTTTCCATGTTGGAGTCAGAGTACTGTTGACAGCACTTTTCCAGGTTACGGCAAAGGTTGAGTGCCCACAAGCATGATTTACCCTAGCATTCTTTATATATAAAAATAAAGAGCTATGGTATGATTGCAAATGAGACTATCCTCCAACGTTCAAATGAAGCAACTATAGGAAACTGTATGTCCTTCAAAAATGAGAAAAATCCATACCGTTTAGTCGGGCTGTAAAAGACCCCAACATAAAAAAATGCGCAACAATTCAATTAAGAAAAATAACGGCCTGTTGACAAAACAATTTACGAAAAACAAATTTGACAGACATGAACCAACCCCAACCACTGAACTATAGGCTCCTAACTACGGACAGGCACTTGAAGAAGGTGGCAGGGTTAAAAATGTTTATGAGCCCTCAACCCTCCCCTTAACCTGGGATAGTGGAATTACAGCACAATATAAGAACAAACTTGTGATTAGTATGAGACACAAACACAACTAAGATAAAAACAATATACACAAAGCACCGAAATAAGACTACTCGCAGTAACTAAAAGCCAGTTTAAAGCCAATTACAACTAATAACTAATAAATAAATCATGTTCTCCAGACTAAAGTGTCAATCATTACACATCCAACGGATTTATTGTACATATGTCATTAACAGTCTGAGATACGCATGACCTAGTGGAATGCCAAAATTTAACTACACAGAATCGTGAGGATGTAGGGTCATGAGTTCTCATAACTGTACATATATAGCAATATGTATTTAGTTATGCTTTACTTTTTCAAAAAAAAATCAATATTAGTACCAATATAAACAATATTTATAGATTTTACTATTGTGTTAAATTGATAACCTTTAAAAATAAGTGTATTTAAAGGATCAATTGTTTTACATGGGTCGTATCTAAATTGCCGAGCTTTATAAACACCGCCATCAAAATTAGGATGTGATATCCCGTTTTTAATAAGAACTCCCAAAAACTGTGATTCATAACAATACAGGAACAAGTCTGCTATTAAAAGGACGCAATTGGTGCCCATAGGAATACCTACAACCTGTTGATAAACTTTATAGTCCAAATGTTTATAAATGTTGTCAAAAAGAAATATAAAGCTTTAATCGTCCCATCTCAGTTCTAATAAGTATATCTAGCATATATGCCTAAACAAATCCAGAA